GCGGGCGGCGTGGGCGAGGTAGTATGTTTGAGTGATACTCATTTTCTTTTGTTGACGCCTCCGGGCGAGGGAAGTGAAGTAGGCGCTGGGGGAGGAAGTGTGATAGGAGGAGGCGAGGGAAGAGGGGGTAGAAGTAGTAGTAGTAGTGGTGGTGGTGGTTGAGAAAGTTGTGGGGGAGAAAGAGGACCCCATGGCGCAATCTCCGGATGTTGATGTGCTTATGAGCTCAAGTTTCGAATGCCCAGGCTGGATGATGACTCGTCCGTTCCACTGTGACTCAGGCAGACCTACTGTTTCCGGCGAGGGTAGATCGGCCAATGAACGTTGTGGATAGGGGGCGGTGAGTCAGACGGCAACAAGGCGCAGATCAACTAAAATGGATCCCTTATCGGGTACCTTAGTAGAGAGGCAAGGTATCAATCCTTTCAGGTCCAATTATTTGGGACCGCGACAAAAGTACTCCCAAGCTGCACGACGGACGCTTCAATAGTTGGAAGTTGATGTCGTGTCGTGTTCTCAGGCTGGTCTAGAAATGGTGCGTCGTCTCCACTGGTTGTCTGTTCAACCACTGCAGCAATAGTCGGATCTTTTAGATGTGTGTGTGTGGCTGATAGATGCGATAGAGATGGTCAGCTATGGCTGGACAGAGGGTCAACTATCGGTGTGTAAAAAGTCACGGTAGGGGGATGCAATATCGATGAAGGATATAGAACAATAGTTTCAAACTCTGGTTGGGGAGGGATAAGGACTTGATATATCCACTGTTGGCTGGTGGTTTTTAGCTTTTTTTTCCCATTTCTTTTTTCTATTTTTTTTTATTTTACTAGGCTGACTCTTTTTTTTTTTTCCCTTGATACCGAGATCTTCATGTGGTATAATTTTTTTTTCTTTGCTAATCACGTTCCGTGAACCGTGTAAAGTCCGACCGCCGATCGGAACGGAGGAGAGCGTAAACCCCATCCGACCCAGCAGAAGATGGATCCACGGTATTGTTACCAGGCTTGAGGACCCATAAGGCAGTCCCTTCACTCACCGCCCCACTGCAACCCAATCACATTGGATCATGATGAGTCACGGGGACCCAACGACCAGCAGTGAAGGACTTCGGATGACCAATCTTTCCGCCCGTTACCTCCGAATCCAAATTTTACAGGCTGAATGGAACTTTCCAGGCATCGAATTGGATCCATCCTGCCTCATTATTCATCGACTTTGATATATCCACTCCTCCGGTCGGCATCGTTCCAGCCGGTATTAGTGATGATTACTTACTCTGAGTCTCCCTAATACGAAGTTTAATTTCTGATGGATTTGAAATCCAGTTTAGCTTTCAATGCTTCAAACAATGCGGCTGTTTACTGATCTTGGGTCAGCGTTCATGACAAGCGATGGCATCATCGAAATGCGGAGGAGAACTAATATGATGGAAGATAAGGGGCTCTGTAAGGTAGGTACTCGTGAGAGGCGATCGAAGCCCTTCATCGCCCAGGATACATGCCAGTTCTGACGTTGGAATGATTTCGGAGTCAGCGAATTCCGACGCTGGTTGGGGGAATCCCTCCCCAGGCTTGGATGCCGCCATTCCACTTTGGGGCCTCAACTGCTTATCATGCAGATATAGCATACAAGGGCGAGCCCCGAGTAATGTACGCAGGGCCCGAGTCTCCTCTGAGATTCAAGAACCTGTAGCGAGGGTCGACAACTCCGGTCCATTTGTGCCCAGCCGCCCACGTAAGCCCATCTGTAGCTGTACTGGAAGGCTGCCGTATTTCCTCCCTTGCTGCCAATAACCTGCCGACCACTTGTTTGGTATACATATACGGTCCTATCGTAGAAAAGGTCTCGGCACTGCATATGCGGCTCCCCCAGAGATCTTTAGGATCCATCTGCCTAACACGTACGCAACGACACGATCCCTTACTTCTGAGGATACTCTGGTCCCCTCTTGGCGTGGAACTATAATCTGGCCAGGAAGTTAATCCCCATGAACTGAAGGCTGTGGTTGTGGAAGGGGCCAACGCCCATTGTCGGGAGGCCAGTTGTCTGGAAACTCTCGTAGACCCCGAGAAGAACGAATACGATACTCACAGATTCGGAAAGTGCCCTTCTCATTTCAGTAGCTGAGCCACGAGGGATCTTGGGTCTGATTTAGCCATGTGTCGAGACATGGCCATTGTGACTGTCCCCTGTGGACCCGTGGCATCAACAACACAGCCCTAGAACTGGGTCCGCCATTTGGCGGACTGGATTTGATACGCTTACGGATACGGAAGGTATTGTTTCTGCCTACTCTGGAGTATACACTACCAAAATTATGGTTATCGCACGGTCAACGCCAGATTATCAAATGTCGCTTATATTGAGTTGTCAGTGGTTCAGATATACCCCGTGTTTCACTCAGGCTCTCTCGTATCTCCTAAGCTGGTCGGACCAGTGCGGACGGCCGTTCCGCAGAATCTACGGCGGGGGACATGCCAATGGCAACCTACCACGTCTCCAGAATTCCCCTGCCAAAGCATCCAGGCATGAGATTTGGCCACAATCCATTGCCCTCGATGACATAGGGTCAAGTCATTGCTCTTTGGCTCTGTACCTCTTCCAAGCAAGGCAGGCGCGACTTTGATCGCCATCCTTATCAACGAGATGATGTCATGACGTCACGACCTGTCCATCCCTGAAGGTTCTCACAAATGAGCATCCCCAATTGTACTCGATTACTTCATATGTCCCCTCCTGGTAGTCTGGACAGGAGACCGATCTGGGGATGCTGTCATGCGTGAGGTCAACAATGACCTCGAACTTCCGATCTCCCCGTTGTCCCTCTCCACCGTTCATGAAGGGGTCAATATGCATTTGTTCATGCCGGCATAATTATATAACCCACTGCATAGTGGAGATTCATAAAGAGAGCTTGACCTGATCACGAGCCACAGACGGCTGCCCCGTGGGTTGCGAATGTCGGCGAGTCGGTGTTTAGTCGGCGAAGCTCGCTCCAGTGGATTCGTAGTGGATACACCCTAATTACTGGGTCCGATCCATGGATGCCAGACTTTTCCAGCCGAGGTGTCGGTGTCATATTCTGACCTAGACTATTTATGTCCGGTAGTGAGAAAATTTTTTCTGGCCTTCCTTTAGTCTATAAGCTAATGCATGACACTTATATAAGGCTTGAATAAACTGAACTACATACCTTTACGGATAGAGTATTGAGCCAATCCTTTCTTTTCGCTTCGGCAGAAGTTAATTCATGAGATGGCCATCCTTAAAAAATCTTGGCTGCTGGCTAGAACACCGTCCAGACGTGCAGAACCATATCAGACCACCTATGGCCTCATGGCAGTACGGAGTAACGAACATTGACTGGTCCTCAAAAATAAGAACCGACGAGAACCTTTGGTCCAGGGAGACCCACAGCTCGGAACCTTTCTCAGCCCTGGCAGATCCCTGAAAATCGTCATTAGTACGGTTTCCCGGTTACGGAGAATGAGAGCGATCCACCGGCACGCCACATCCGAATAGATACTCAGGACGGACATTTGCTCCGGAGTTAGTAGGGATTGAGTCCGTCCGAGCGATCCCTTCGACCACTCGAGGTTTTTCGGGCGAGCTACGTCGATGACTCATGACGCTTCGACTCCCATTCGTTCATTTCCTGCTTCATCCCGCTGTGCTTTGCATGGTCCCATCTGAAGAGGTCGCTGGATCTGTGTTGTTGAACCCTCCAATTGCGGTTAAGCGGTAGTTGGAACAAACTTTGATAATTGATGCTGCTGCTACCGGCCACAGAGATCGCAATCGATGGACCTCGGCTGGATACTCCTCTACCTTGGCAGTGGCCATTCATAGGCCTTCGGTTTTACCACCTGCTCCTTGCTTGTCTGCTCTTTTATCCTTTTTTAGGGTTTTCTTTCCCATTCAGGATGGACAGCCAACCGGCTGCGAAAGGAACGCATATCGAGCTCGAAACCATATTCTCATCATCTGACCTCACCAACCGGTGTAGCGAGTAGATTGTACAAGCATCTGAAATATGGTCAAGTTTTGTTTGCAAAACAATGCTATTGCACTTGATTGGTTTGGAGGTGCCGGAACTAAGAAGCCATCGAAGACGCCAGGTTATCTACGTCCCCAGCGAGGAGAGACATAGCACACACCAAGTCAATAATGATCAACACATGCGAACTGAACTAACCTAGGTTTTCTTGAGAGGGTCTACTTAAGACTCCTTGCGTAGCCGACATGCAGCTAGCCTATAGATAGTAGTTCTAGGTATCAAGATTGTTGTTGCCCCTTTGGGTGAAGGTGTTGGAGTCGGCGAGACTTTGTTCCGCATGCGTCGTTTGGACATTCATTACCTCGGACTAGATATCCAGAACATCATTCTATCGATATGGTGGTATCCATACGTGGAAGACCTCATGTCTGCCGTGCAGCCAACAGGCAAACATCGGATCGCTGATCCTGGGTAAGATATATATCTCTACGGAAATCACCTCACCGTCCCTACGGAGTATACGCTTCCATGCTCACGTTGTTCAAAGTCACCAAGTGCATCTGTTTGATGTCATTTGAATTGTTATAATGTTCGGAAAGATAACTATACTGCTGGTAAAAGCAGCCAACTTTCGAAGATCTGTAATGGCTTGGCGTTTCGGTTAGACCCTTGTATAAGCCTCAAATAAAGACAGCATCGATGCTAAATAGCTACTCCTGAGACCGCTTCACTCGGACCATAGTGTGAATGTACGGTAGAAGGTAACACCCGAAGGTCGATCCAGAGAGCACAGATAAGAGGCAATCTAATCAGACGCCTCAAGTTCTTCACAGTATACTATTAGCGCGCAAGGGAGCTATGTACTAGTCCTCGCCGGAGAATGTGTGAATATGTCACCCACCATGTTACTACCTCCCCCCGTATCAAGCACCCGTGAAACGCAGTGCGTATAATAGCCGGCATGGACGATTTACTTGCATAACATGGGCACTGATTACTATATCACTCAAGCATCCCACCCCCACACCTCCTTCAACCTCATTTGTGACACCGTCGTCGGCCAATAGTTCGTCTCTCTGGTCGTACTAGCAAGAACCTCCATCAAGGCCCGCTGCTCCCTCAAATCCGTAAACCGGTCCCCACAGATATTAATAGCAATACAAACAGTCGTAAACGCAGGTGGCGACTGCCGATTCGACAACGCAATTCCACAGATCTCAAAGACAGTAGATCGTAACTTGGCATTCATGATGTCCATCGACTCACGACAGATCGGCCCGACACGGGGTATATGCGGTGAGTAAGCCGTTAAGAGGATATTGAGCAACCCCATACTCTGAGACGCGACGATGTGGCAATCATCCAGATACCAGATTCGGGGGAAGAGCTCGCCCACTCCGTGGTCTGGTTTCTGGTAGTAGACAGGCGAGAAGGATGGAGGACGGCATTGCAGCCAGCGGTTGTGGAGGTCAATGAGCTCGTAGTACCGGTCTGGAGGGGCGGGCTGGTCGTCGTAGCAGTACTGCAGGGCGTAGGCGCAGATGATGAGGAGGCGGTTCGTCCAGATGTGGTCTGGGGCAGGGGTCCAGATGAGATAGGGTGTTGTTATGGAGAGCGGGAGACGAATGGGCCGTTGCTGGGAGAAGGCGACGTGGAATTCTTGTCGGAAGCCGACCCAGAAGACGGCTTGGCGGAGGCCGGGCGTGGAGAGGGCTAGCTTTGCCTGTGCTTCGACGAAGACGTGGAGGCCTTGGATGGCTGTTTCGGTTGGGAGATCGATGAAGGGGCCTGCTAGGGGTTAGTTTGGGGTATGTATGGGTGATTGTGATGGTGGATGAGGTAGGTGTGTACTGTCTAGTTCTTCGTAGATCGGAGGATTACTACTGTTGCGAGGAGGATCTCATCCATGAGGGCCTCTGGTTCGCTGGCCAGGGATCGCAGGTCCGTGATGCATTTGTTGTGGTAGTAGAGTACGGTCTCTTCGTTGATTGCGGGGTCCTGCTGTAGTCCGTACTCTTCGATGATCTTGTCCTGTTTCTCTTTCGGTAAAGTGCTGAAGTGTCTTGCTGATACGGCCAGAATGGCGTTGCGCAGTGGTTCGCTCCCTCGGGCGATCTGAGGAATGGCCCTAACGAAATGGCGCTCCGGGTCACAAAGGTCGAACTGCGACATAGAGTGTCATTTCAAGTGATTTCTAGCGGGTATGGGGCGGAGTCATGGGCACTCACCCATCTGGCCAGGTATTCGACAAAGTACCGCAGTAGACATGCTTCTTTCGGACCAGTTTGCGGCCAAGGAAGATGGGGAGTATCCAGAAGACGCGCCGAGAATGCTCCAAATGGCGTGGACGGGCTTTCTTCCGAGTTGAACCGGGAGAAGGACTGTGCTTGGGCGCTGCTGTCCAGAGCTTTGGGAGACTGGAAAGACGACTCAGTTGGAGAGGTGTCGGTGAAATCGGGCGTTTCATCAATGTACTGCAATGTACGATACCCTTGTGACGGTCAGATATTGGAAATTTGTATTGGTATCATGACAAACCTGCTAGTGAAGCACCCGAGATGGTGTGCCGAAACTTCCTAGGTGTTCTCCGAATACATTCTATGCCGGATCTTGCACACCGCGCACACTTAGGGTTCCCATCGTTGCCTAGTTATCTACCATTAGCGCTCAACCTTACCTCACCCGTAGAACCGGAAATAATAGGACGGGACCGACATTTGACATGATGCTCTGTACGTCAAATTAGGGAATGTTAGAACAAGTGGGGGGAATCACATACTTCGACAGCTCTCACTGCACCATGCGTATATCTCAGCAATTGACAAGGCACACTATATCAGATAGAACAAGGGAGACTCACCAGGGGATCTGTCTCGGTGGCATCCTACTGAAGAAGCGGAATTGGGAAGATTGTCGGGACTGTTCTGGAGTTCAAACGCCGATATGATCTCCGTCGGGTAAGCTTCGCCGGTTGACCCCACATGGGGTTAAGTGCGCCACGATCCTCTCTTGCATTTCCTTATCTTTATTGCGCAGTGGAAGTGGAGTGAAGCGTAGCAAGCAATATAGGAGACTGCTCAATCGGATCTGTGTTCTGATTAATCCACGGTTCTGGATTCTGATTGGACGAGAATTCACCGGCTACATTATTCCTATTTTGTCTTATATATTCATCTCAAGCCAATTTAGATAGTTAATCTGGGCAGTACTCCAGACTGCACTCTTAATTTCTATATTAGAGTTTTTGAATACAGTGCAATATCTAGATTTCTAGAGCTTTTAAACGCAGTATAATGCCTAGATTTCTAAAGCTTTTGAATCACCTGCGTGGCCTAGATTTCTAGATTATTTAAACATACTGTAATACTTGCACAGTGTACCTAAGTAGAATAGATAATCTAGATAATATAGTATAATGTATTTAAATAATCTTAATAATTTAGGGGATGTAATAAAAGATTATGTGATTCTTTCGCTGCGCAAGTAGTCTGCCAGTTTCTTCAGCTGGCAGTCTCTAGTAGTTATCATCATACGGTGGTCATGAAGCAATACCAACAGATTCTAGGCATCACTATTGAGACATGGGGTCAAGGGTCGACTCATTCATACTGTGCTGCGTGCAATCACCATTCGAAAGATAATTACTATGTCGAGTGAATCTTACCTATTCACCATCTATCTCTCCCCTTCCCCATGGTGTCTGTGACCCACATGATGGCAACGATATCTTCTGATATTTCGCTCTCAGCCGAGCCAGCACCTGTTGCTGCCGCCTGCAGACCACTAGCTGGGCTTCTAGCTGCTTATGTTGTCTGGACTTGGTCTCGAATGGAGCGACTACAAGTTGAGGCTGAGGCAGTTCAAGCAAGCCTGACCACCAATGAAGGGACCGGCAATCAATGGCTTGTTGTACTGGATTTGACTAAGAAGGCCATCGAAAAGCCGGCGAATCACGAGAATGGTTTACGGGGTATTGCGTATCGCTTTCAGTGGGAGGGGACCGTCGGCATAATCAAGGGTATTCCAGGATACTCTCACGAGTACCCTACGCAAGAGTCTTCTATGACGGTCAATGACCAGCTAGCTGCGATGGGCATCGGAAGAAATGATAGATCATGGGGTGGGAGGACCACCTACAGCCCCACTTGTAATACAGGCAAGGAAGCCGATCAAATCTTTACTCCTTTTAATCGACGGCCGTCTGGTGGTGTCGTGGACTGGCCAACGCTAGCGATCGAGACGGGCGCAAGCGAGTCATACCAAAGGCTCCAAGAGGACGTTCGTTGGTGGTTCAAGAACTCCAACGGGAGGGTGCGCATCGCGATAATTATTATTATTATTCTGAAATAGAACTACATGAGGTTTGAACAGTGGCAACTGGTGCCACATCCTAGCAACCCCGACAGGGCGCTATTTAAACCAATCACGGCCGCAAGTGCAGACAATGTTCCCACCCGGGCAGCCCAACCACTAGTAGTCACTCAACGTCCCTACTCCGCCCAGGAGATACTGGTTACGCCAGGTACTATGGGGATTCCTTTCGAGGCTCTGTACGATCGAAGCCGTGGTCCTACAGAGACGGATGTCATCCTCACTGGGAATGATGTCAGAGATTTCGCCAGAACTAGCTTTTGACGGAATGATGGGTAGGGTGGAAGAGGTCCCGAACTCCCCCTCTGCGACACGTCCAGCTTTCCCCCTCAAGATGGTGGGGGAGATCGAGATCTAACACTCGTAACATCTTCTGGTCTCCTTTCTAGCCCGATATGCAGGGAACTTCCCCTTCATCTTGCATCAGATTCGATGTGGAGCGAATGAGGGCCTGGCGTACTGGAGTCGACGTCAGGATGTTATTGGGCAGGCAGAGCCTGACGTAGCCCAGGGGCCAGGGCAGCGTATCAGCGACAACCACACATCCATTCCAGACGAGGCTCGGTTTCGTTTAGGCAATGGCAATAGCGAGAGGAACGCAGATACATGAAGCGGCTGACGACTAGAATAGAATGAAAGCATATATGGAGCCAACCCCGCGGAGTGAGACTAAATTCCTCATTAGCGGGGAGCTACCGATCTCTTGATCTACATTGACCTTCTCCATGTCATAGTAAACAAAGAATCCCCTCCGACCGGTTTCATTTGTCATTATGTCTTCCTCATCGAAGGACAGGCTTCTCCCGTCCATTCAGGCGCTGTTGTACAGTTGTGCCAGGGCCACCATCCTAGCTTCCGAGATACAGTTCGAGGAGGATTTAAGCACGTCGCAGGATCAAGCGCTCGCTGTCCTTATCAACTTAGATCTTGAGATAAAACGTTCACTTCGGTACATTCTACAGCGGATAACGCTGCCGATTCCCCTCTTTACCTCTGTCCTTCTTGGTTCAACCTGGGCGCTCGACTTGTTTGAGCGGCGGTTGCGATTGTACCGACTCTCCCGCCACGGCAGACAGTATGTTTGTAACTCGTGGACCCGACTTATTGAGATGTTACAACAATACACTATGAACCTTCAACAACTGACCAGCACTTCGGCTCTGGATGCGTAAGTGCTTATCGGATGCATGCCTGGCGCTCATTCATGGCTGACTCAGCTCCACGACAGTCCCGACGCCATTTCCGATGCTTCTTCCCTCCAAAGACTATTCAACAGCCAAAATGATGATGTACAACAGGAGCTGGAGGCCCAGATTCGATACGAAGGGCAGCCCTGGGATGTTTCCCCTGATACACCAGACTATCTAGACGTACAACAAGAGTATCCGCCATCCACCTATGCTACCCCGCCAAGCAGTATCACGGATGGGGATAGCTACGACGACCTTCCGGCCATTCCCGGACCTCCTCCCCAGGCTCCTAGTCTCCTATCCAAGGAGCAACACCATCAAGCTGCTATAGACCATGGTCGGGAGAGGGAGCGTGCAACGATCTACGAAACGCTGAAAAGGGTCTGGCTACCCGAGGGTACATCGTCAGAAAAGCAGCGATCCAGCTACCTGATGGGGGCAATAAAGTTGGACTCTGTTGACGGCGTCAACCTTCTTCTTGATCTAGGCGCAGATGTGAATCAACAATGTGAGAACAATTTGCCGTTGTGTCTGGCAGCCAAACTTGGACATGACAGGATAGTGGAAACCCTCTTAGAACGAGGAGCGGAGATTGATAAGCTAAGTGCGTACGGCAGCACCGCGCTGTTGTCTGCGGCTGGAACTGGCCGTGTCTCTACCATCGCCCTTCTCCTGGACAGGAAAGCAAACACGGAAGCCAGAAGTACGTCTACTTTTTATCTAGGATATACACCGTTAATGAGGGCGGTGAAATCCGGCCGCATGGATGCGGTTCGAGTGCTTGTCGAGCGGGGTGCGAATGTCGCGACCCAGAATGACGCAGGGGAGTCCTTATTGCACATTGCTATGCGAGATGGCCGTAAAGAGATCATCGAGCAGGTGCTTAGGCTGCAGCCTCGTATCGGGGTTGCAGACGAGAATGGTAATACGGAGTTGCATGTCGCCGCCACACAGGGCCTTGTTGACGTATGCAGGCAACTCGTGGGACAGATGAAGAGCCTCATGCTGACAGGAAACCGTAACAAGGAGACGCCACTACATTGTGCAGTTAATGCGAGAAGATGCGAATTAGTTAAGCTGTTTCTCAGTGAAGGAGCGATTGTTGAGTGGCCAGACAAAAATGAGAAGACTCCATTGCATCTCGCCGTGAAAACGGGGTGCCAGGAAATCGTGCAACTGCTTCTCAATGCCATTGCGTCCCCGTGTAGGAAAGACCAGGACGGAAAGACTCCAATCCACTATGCCGTCGACCTGTCCAGTAAAGACCTTCTCCAGCTCCTAGCGGAAAAGATGCCTTCCGTGGATGCTAAATATGGGAACAAACAACCGCCCCTCCACTACGCTGTGAAGTCCCTGAATGTTGAGATTGTGTGTCTGTTACTATCGCATAAGGCAACAGCTAATTGTAAGGACAGGGCTGGTAAGGTGCCGCTCGAATATATTATGGAACTGCCCCAGTCCGACGAGGAGACAGCGATCCGTCTCATCCGGGAGTTCCTACGCGCACATGAAAAGGGACAAACGCTCACAAGCACATGTGGATTTCCTGCACTATCCCAGGCTGCAAGACACAATAGAGTACAACTCATTGAAGAGTTTTGCAAGCACGATCCATATCTCGCCAACGAAAGGCCAGCTGCCGACTCGGGTTTCGAACCCCCCTTGCACGAGGCGATCAAGGGGGGACACAGGAAATCCGTGGACAAGCTCTGCGAGTTCCCAGACACAGACAAGGATATTGTTGACAGTAAAGGGAATACGCCACTCCACCAAGCCATAAAAAATTGGCAAGATGGGTTGCTGGCCATGTTAATACACTGCGGAGCAGACAAGGACCGTCCCCATAAGGCAAATGGTTTGCCGCCGCTACATTTCGCGGTTCAATCGCAGAGCCTCAAGAAGGTCCAAGAGCTTCTAAACGCCAAAGCAGATCCAGAAAAGCGCATTAAAGGAGAGCAATGCCAATGGTGCAAGGACCACAAGAGACCTCCCGGCATGAATTCACGATGTGTCTTGCAGGCGATCCCCGTTCGAAACCGGGAGCACGAATACGCCGGGATTAACCGAGTCCTTACCCAAACCCTCCTAAAGTCGGGCCATCCTAGACCTACGTCGTCGGATAGCAGTGTGAAAAAGAGAAAGAGACGTTTGTACACAGCTGGATCCCGTGCTGACACACCGATATAAGAGGGACGTGCATCAATGGTGTGGAGTGTAGCATAGTGGTGTGTATGTTTCTCTATTGGATAATAATTTGTGACATCAGAACTGGAGCCAGGTTTGTTCTTATCTGTATTTTTAATAACACACTGTATTTAGCTTTGCAAATACAATTCATAACTGTCAGTTTCCAAAGGCATTCAGACTTAGAGAGAGACAATTGAACTAGTCCAGCGAATTTCGCCATTAGATATCGACAGGATATTTCGTTCCACCCTGGCGACGAATCTCATCCATGATTTCCATAACACGGAGAGTCTCGACCAGGGCATGAGCTCATTCTGTTTCCTGCCTGCTAGCACATCCAAAGCCGTATTATCCGCCTCATAGATATACCCCCGCCCAATCCGCGGAAAATCATACTTCTTGCCTACTTTCTCCACCGCACCCTTCTGATACACCGTAAACGAAAGAGGCATAGAAGCCGCCGGGCCCTCAACATCAATATACCCCTTCGTCCCCTGAATGCGCGCAATATGAGTCGGGTCTCCGGGCATCATCGTCGTCGAGCTAACGATACCCTGTCTCCCCGAAGAGAGATACCTCAACAGCACAGCAGTCGTAACCTCCACCCCATGGAGATGCGTCTGGGTCGCCAACACCTGCGGAAGCTCCGACTTCCCGGGCGACCCCGGATCGAGGGTAAGCAATGCCCACGTGAGGGAATAAACCCCCAGATCAAGGAGCGAGCCCGCACCCAGCGCCGGATCCCTGTACCGCGACGTCGGGGGCAGACTGGGAATATCGACGTCGAGGGCGAAGTCGGCCACCGTCCGGAAGACGTCTCCGATCACCTTCTCCTCGTAGAGGAGTCTGCGCAGCTCGTGCACAAGCGGGCGGTGGCGCAGCCACATCGCTTCGTGCACGTATACATTCTTTTCTGCGGCTGCCGCCAATACTTCCCTCGCTTCTGCGGCGTTCAGCGTGAAGGCCTTCTCGCAGAGAATGGGCTTGCCGGCGCGGATGGCGTCCAGGCAGTTCTGTTTGTGGAATGAGTGCGGCGTCCCGATGTAGACGACGTCGACGTTCGGGTCGTTGTACACTTCTTCGTAGGACGCGTAGATGGTTGGTGTGCTTTGGGGGCAGTACTTCGCGGCGAACTTTTGGCCTTTTTCTAGTGCTGAGGACCCGATGGCTTGCACGATATGCTTGACTTTGGGGTTTTCTTGCGCTAGCACTAGGTCTTCGACGAACCAGGATGAGATGAGTCCTGTGGCTGGAGGGATTGTTAGCTTGGTGTTTGTGTGAGGTAGAATGTGGGAATGCTTACTGATAATTCCCCAACGGATGGAAGGTAGTTGTGACATGGTGGGGAATTGGGAATATAAACTGCGGTTTGGACTAATGGGCGAGTATTGTGTCTCTTAACGGGAGCTTTGGTTTTATAACCTGATGCCGGAAATTGATTTCCTTTGGCGTTATTCTTCACTTGTCGAACTAGAAATACCACCAATTATATGAGGTGTATTGAGTCACGCGTCTAAACCGACAAGTCTAACCAGAGATGGGAAATTCAAACCCCGTCATATTGAATCGATATCAAGTAGCGTTGGTATATGAACGTAGCAAGTATAAACATTAGTCTTTGAATTACTACCATTTTGTCTTCGTGTACTGTACGGCATCATTGTCGACTACTAGCGTATCGTCCAAATTAACAAGCTAGCTTTGGATTCATCGGTACCTCATGTCTACAATACAGGTAGCTACCTGGCTGGCGATGCCTGTTTCTTTGCATGATCAGCTATTCATTTTACGGACTGATGGTTAAGATACTGAGCTCTCAACAGGTGACCGAGTACGTTCTGCACGCAAGGAGCCCGGACGAGCAGAAAAGCATTAAACGTCTGGAAACCAGACAGTGCCAGGAGACCGAGAGGTCAAGAACTCGATATATGCGTCTAATATACTTACATCGAGACCCGATAGACTTCGACTGACATCAAATAGTACTCCTAATTCCAGAAAGTATAAGACCATCAAAACCTTCCAACCATTCAGGCGCCAACTTGCGTAGTAAAGTTTAAATACAATCCAACAGCAACCAAACTGCCGACGAGTCCCCCAAGATACACTGCGCCACTGGGAATCCCGGAAGTGGGTGAGGTCTGAGTGACGCCTGGTGCAGAAGATAGCGTCGTTGTCGTTGCCGAATCACCAGCCTGGAAGATGTCAACTCGCCTTCCATTTCGACATCACCAGCAAGGCTAGACTTGCCTGTCCTTTCACCGTCCCTATCTGCAGGGTGCTCAGCACCTCCCCTGCTTCGTCACTATGTCCTACATCGTCGTATGCGGAGCTAGCGTCTTGTCCGGCTAGGTCGAGTACGACATCTTCACCGCCACTGGGAGCATGTCAGAATGACTGGGGGTGGACTGCTGAGCTATAAAATACGTACGGATGCTCGTCTAGGAACTTTGTAACATCGTAGACTTTGTTGTGGATAATAAGCCATAGATCGTCTTTCGTCTTGTGCTGGGAGATCTCCTTGAGGGTTAAGGTATGCGCCATGGTATGATATGAACTGCCGTCGGGGTTCCTGAAGAGATAGATAGATAGTGCATTACAAGGGCAGCTATTTGTTTGGCTGTGAAGGTACAAGAATGTTGGGGGATATATGACGGCGCTTCTGATTTGTGGAGTTAAGAGAGGCTTCGCCCATGGGGTTGGCTTACATGAGACTGTGGCTTCTCCGTCGGTGTTATCGGGGAGTAGAGGGATCCATCTTCCTCTTTCTTACTTTCTTGAGTATTATTACTGAGCTTTTGGGCCGTTGGGATGTGGACAGAGCGTCGGGATTGGCGTCGCTGGCTACGCTTTTGAAATCTTGGACTGAAAGGAATCTCCAAGTAGTTGCACATGCGCATGTCTAGCAGAGCTAGGGTAAGGCTTACGAGTCTAGGAAATCAAAGTGCAACATATGTCTTGCATAATAGCTATAGAGGTCCAAAGGTGAGCCTTCTTTGAAGAGCGCGAGTGAATGCAGAAAGCCCCATCACATAAGCTACAGAAATGCCAGAAGAATAGAGATATAAATGCATTCCTAGCCTGGTTGAACAGCCTAGTTAAGCGCAGTAATATTTTGTTTTAGCCAAATATAACTCCAACAAGACATATAATATCCTCTAGACAGGTGTAACAGCAATCTTGACGCCATTGGTGTTGACCGGACCTGCGCGCATGACAGGAACGTAGCCGTTGGAGTCCCGATTCTCAATTGCCTTGAAGCGTCGACAGAACCGCGCAACGACGTAGCTTGCCTCTGTAGTAACCAGAAGTTGGGCGGGACAACGTCTAGGGCCACCACCAAAGGGCACGAAGTTCCAATACGGACGAAGCCCGAACCATCGTTCCGGTTTGAACTCATCAGCATCCTCTCCCCACACATCCTTGTCCCGATGCATGACGTTCTTGTTGACTTGAACTACGTCGCCCTTCCTGACATAAATGGGCGACTTCCCATCCCTCCCGCCACCGAGGGGAAGCGTGCTGTCTTTGATGCAGTAGCGCACTTGCATGATGCCATTGGGGTAGAGTCGGTGCGCTAGAGGGCCATGAGCCTTTTAATCCCGGGATAGGGAAATGAACTAGACTAGCTACTCACTTTCATTCAGCACTGCGTCGAGGTATTTCATGGACCGAAGACACTCGTATGTCAGAGCTGCGTCCTCGCCGACGGAAAGCACTTCCTCCCGGACCTTGGCGTAGACGTCGGGATAGCGTGCAAGATTCCAGAAGACGTTGCTGATGAAGATGGAGGTCGTGTCATTGTTCGGCACAAATAGGAGTAACATTTCTGATCGTAATCGCTCCCTGTCCTCCGGGACGTTGCCGACCATGGACCAAAGCAAATCTGTCCTTTCGGGCTTCAACCTGACGCCGAACGACGATGCATCTTGGCTCACTGCGTTCCCTTTTGCCTTCTCGGTCCTTTCCTTGTATGCTCTATCGACTTGCCGGTCGATGAACCCGTGGACAACGTCTATGGCGTCAAACCAGACCTTCCACCGGAACATCCAGAGCCACTTGCTCATCTGCAGGCGCAGACGCAGTCCGCGTAGAATATCGGTCATGGCCCATGCGATCTCGGCTCGTTCAGGATACAAGAGACAGCTCATGGACTCGCCGAAGAGGAAATGGCTCGATGTATCAAGAAACTATGTGATTCCAACAATTAGCGCCAGATAAGAGCCATGGGAGCCAGCGAAACGAACCCAGCGTTGCATCAACGTCTGCATGTCAAAGGTGGAGCCGTCAAGGGGGATCAAGCTCAGGAGGTTATCGGTATGCTCCTTCAGACGGTCCGTGTTGGAAAAGGCTTCGCGGAGGAAATAAGGCTTGATCAGGAACCTGCTGAAGGCCCAATCATGGCCGTCGGTGGTGTTGACACCTTTGTCCGCGAAAGGCATGCTGGCCCCCGTCTTGCGACGTAAGGGCTCGACGCCAAAGTCCTTCCACACGGTGGCCGACAGAGCCTTCATGTTCTCGGGCTCGATGGTGTGGATGACATGCCGGCCGAGGAAGTCGATCGTGAACGTCTTGGCTTTGCCCGGCCCTGTCTCGTGCAGCATCCGAAGCCACAGCAGGAAGGTGTGGTTCTTCAGCGCTTTGGCCATCGAGAATGCGATGTCAAATCCCATGATAGGGATGCGCTGCGGGTAGCGCGGAATTCGCCCATATCCTTTTCGCCATTCGGTCCATGATCTTGTGATATTCGATGTCACCGACTTGGTGATGATGCATAGGACTACAAGATAGAATAAGTGAGACCATTTTGGTATCACATCTAGAGCCACATTTGAAAGATCACAGTCCCAGTCTGTCAGACTCAATCTGGGTGACGGAGTTGGATTAGTTAGATTCATTGCCGTAGATGGTCACCGATCGCCGTAGATTCGCAGCTTGGGTCGTGCATGAATATGAAACTACTACTTTTATGAGATATCCATATGGCCCCAAAGAATATTACATGATTAAGCTTGTTAATTATTAGGTCAGCGTTGATTCTGGGGAGTTAATGCGTAGTCGGGGAGAAAGCGTTATCTCCGTTAGGGTTCGGAGAAGGCTTCAGTGTCGCCTTAGCCCTAGCATCGAGCCACGCCGCCGAGAACAGAACAAGGGCAGAAGAGGCTCTCCTGCTTGCACTTTTTCCTTCTATACGCTTCAGCCTCTTGTAATTTGCTTTGGAGCTTTGCTGGGCAATATACCGAGAACTGACTAAAGATTCACACAGGCACGCATCAGCTCACCCTTCGTTATGAATTCTATAGACCATGCTTTGGTCGAGTTCCTACGGCCCTTCAGCGGAATCGAGGGACTGTCTCGCACATCCCCTCTGGCAGTCCTATCCTATGGAATTGGTATCTTCATCGTAGTTATTCTCCTCTCCCGCAATGGAAACGTAAGTTGAACAAGTAGGATATGGAAGGACGACAATCTACCCACCATAGCCAAAGGTAATGCTAACGACCTTCTGTAGAGGCTAAAGTACCTGGATATGGACGGGGTACCAATGAAAGAGCTGAGTCTAGGCCGAACATCCAAAGCAGCCCTTCTATTCGAGCCGTACGTCTCCAGCTCGCTAAGCTGCGTCACCAGACACAACCTGGCTAACCACAGAGACAACCCCCCCGCAGACACGAGATATCCAAACAAGGAGAGAAACTAGCCCACGACGAGCCATATATCATCCGCGATGGAGCGCATCGCGAAGTGGTTCTGCACACGGCGGAGCACGTGCGGGAGTTCCTGCGCAACGATGCCAAAGGTATGGCCGATCTTTTCCGTGAGGGACATCTGGCTAACGCTTTCTATAGACCATTTCAAGCCGACTGGTATGAACTTCGGAGATTACTTCTATCGGTTCGTCTGCTTGCCGTGCTACGCATATCATGGGTGAAATCTAATATTGAAAAGTGTCCTCGGGCAATGTGTCGGCGCACTTAATGGAGAGCAGTGGCGGGACGTTCGGCGGTATTTCGATCCAGCGTATACGCATGCGGCTGGTCTTACTATGATTCCTTCGTTTCAGAAGGAGGTTGTTAGGTGGCTGAATACACTTAGGAATGACTCGCTCCGCGTCGGAGTGGGCAGGCTGGTTGTCAATGCGCCGACGTCTTGTAAGGTCTTGCCGTTGCGTGTTATTCCGCAGAGCTTTTATGGTGGGGCTTACGATGACGAAGTAAGACCTGGGTACTTCTTGTGCAAAGTTTATCTTGGAAGCTGATCACATAATCAGGCTTATACAAAGCTCGTTGGCATCGGTCAAAGTCAAAAACAGGCGCTGAAGTACGCCGTGACGGGCCGATGGCAGAGATATCGATGGTTCAATATGCTGCCGACCCCTTCTAGACGGCTGCTGGATCTGTATCATCGAGATTGGAAGGCTTTCAACCTTGAGATACTGGAGACTGCGCGGAAGGTACATGTGAGACGACACAATTATAGTCGTTCGTGTGGCTGACGAGGACAGCAGAATGGCCTAGCAATCCCAGCTGAGCATGTTTTCAAAGGCGTACAGCTAGGCCAGGACATAACAATGGACCAGGTATGACCAGAGCTTCGAGATAGGGGTTGAACAAGTCATTAACATACCCTTAGTACCTCCAAACCATCGATGAGATGATCTTCACCAACATCGACATCACCGGCAATGTGCTGGCATTCATGCTTGGCCAGTTAGCCCGACACCCAGATTTCCAACAAAGGCTCTACGAGGAGATCGTGGCCCAGAGATCTGGGGAAGACCTTGACCTAAAAGCCTACGTGGCACGTCAAGACTCACTCCTACACTACTTGTGCTTGGAGAGCATCCGGCTGCAGCCCGCAACATGTAAGCCTCCCCCCCCCTTCTACGAAGGGAGCAAGATCCGCTAAACGCAGGCATTTGCAGGGTTTTCGGTACCAGAATGCATAACCATTGACAAGGTAATCGGGCGCTACAAGATTCCGGCGCAGACCCCCGTCGTCATTGACGTGAGGCGTCTCAATACTAATGCCCTGACCTGGGGCCCGGACGGCGGCCAGTTCCGGCCTGAGCGCTTCGCGAGTCTCTCGCCGAACGACTATCGCTATGGTTTCATGCGCTTCGGCGTGGTGTCGGGCAAGTGCCTTGGCAAGCACATGGCTGACACCTTGATGAAGGTGGCGATGGTCACCATACTGGAACAGTACAGGATTGAAGAGGTGGAGAAAAATATCGGCGTGAAGGAGGGCGATTTGGCCTTTATTAGGCGCAAGTAACGGGGCGGCACAGTAGACACTTGGGGTGTCCTGTTTACATCTCGCGAATTGTGCCTCGCTATTTAAATTGTCTATGGAATGGAAACATACTATGTAAAATCGATAAAAGAAGCCTTCGAGTATTCAAACCATCGACGCCAATTGAGATGATATAGACACCCATTGCACAAACCGCAAGTATAGCCCATATCGGAACATATAATGCAATTCTTTTGTAACAACTCAAAATGGCGGCATGAGCCATATTTTGTAAAGTATGATGTTCACTACAGTCAATTTGTGAGGGAAAGGTTTCATAGATATGATCGAAAGCATGAAGAAAGCATAGAGAGCCCAAAGCCCATGGATACGCCACGAACAGGTAACGCCGGAAAGGCAAAGAGCTCACCTCGAGTTGGCACTACCCCTGCCTCAGAAAGGTTAGCTCTAGGGCATTACCATACTGGTAATGTAAGCGTGAGTCTTACCTTTCAGGAGGAGGCAGTTTCATTCTCCCAAGCTGGGAAGGACCAAGCATCGGAGCCGTCATCCAGTGACGGACTAGTGCCACTGGATCGCTCAAGTATTGTCGAGACGGCACCTCTTCGTCCAAGCCCATCACCATTTTCAGTATCGAGGGGAGTCAACTCAGGGAATGAGAGATGGCTACCCAGTGGAGCATTGACAATAGGGCCTGGATGTGGTCTTGTTTCCATGCGACGTAGCCTGGCCTCTAGGATACTGGAGCACGAGTCAAGGGTGCGCTTTGCCGCGTTAGCTACGACCTGCTCGGTTGGCGGCTTGTGCTGAAGAGATAGGCGACGTTTAGAGGTGCCGATCTTGGCCAGCACACAGGCGAGAAAGGCGTGTAATTTCACGCTGGTCTCACCCCGAAGGATACGGCGGCGCGTCAGAGAGGTAGCGTCCTCGATAGTCTGTATTAGCTCACGTCGCGATAGCGAGGACGCCGCGGGCGATGAGTCCTCGCGTAGCTGAAGGAGGAGCTCGGTACACACCGTCAAGGATGCGGCCAGGAAGACGTTCTTGAACAATCCGTCACCGTAAAGACGGAGGTTGGTGTAATCATTGAGCGAGGAAGACGTGATATTGCCGTCACGACGCCCTGTTGCTTCGTTGGTGCTACTGTTGGGCGAGGGTGACAGCAGAAGAAGGGAGCAGTCGAGGCAGACTGTCCGCGAGAAATGGTAGTTGACATCGCTGGATGCCTTGTGCCCAAACTGTGCATGCAAGATGAGTAGGAAGCGCCTTGCTAAGAGGTCCTGGAGCTGGACCTGGAAGGCCGATGGTGGAGTGGGAACGAAGGAGTCGATCAGCTCCGACGTCTCGCGGAGGGCCGCTGTGAGCTCGGCCCCCATGGACCGGGCAGCGTCGTACAGTAACTTAGTGCGAAATCGACTCAGTGTTTGGGCTATCTTGAGCCGGATGGGAAGTGACCTCAGCAAGGCGCATTGGATTGAGCTCTGTGTGAATGTGGTCATCGGTTGCGATGCCGGCAAGGATGTGCTCGATTCACTAATCTGGGAGTCGTCGAGGTTAGATGGAAGCTCACATGAATCGTAAGCCTCTGCTGAGATGACGGGGGGCATGCCCGAGTCAAGACTCGCCTGCACTGCTAGCTCTAGCATCGTCGCCCACAGCCTTCGTCGGATCTCAGCATCCAAGGGGCTGACGGGTAATTGGCTAGGCCCGAGGTGAAGGCCGATGGCCATACCACTTTGTATGAGTGAAGCCGTGGTGATTGAGGCGAGGTCTCCACCGACAGCATTGGTGTTGGTCAACAGGGCAATGACTAGCAGGCACTGATTTTGCACACCGCGAAGGTCGAGGTGCCTCTTCCGGAACGGAGCCGTCAGCCTTATATGGGCTGCATGTATCCACTGTGTCGACTGGTCATGCAATGTTGGGCCTCCGCCAGCACCTTCCGATGACAAGGGATCCTGGTAGAAACATGTACCGATTGCCAGAACAAGTAGGATTTGGAGGACCAACGATTCACTAGCCGCCTGCGGGTTGCTCCAATATTGCACGTAGTCTTCCTGAAAGCTGGGAATATGCAGAACCCGGAGCACCGACTCGAAGGTGCGTAGGTACAACTGTACCAGCCGGTCGGAGACTTCCCTCGAGGGCATGAGCTCTTGAGGTGGCCGCGAAAGCAACTGTGGAGTGGGACAGCTCCTTGCCTTCAAACTCTGCGCCAGCTGTTTACATTGTTGCAAGACGGAATAACCCTCACCATGGGAGATGACATTAATGATGTCGTTGAAAAGACCCTGTTGCTCGTACTTTTTACCCAGATTGTAAGTTAGCCATGATTCTAGCCAACCAACTTTCATCATTGGTTGGTTACCTTGCGGAAGAGGGTCATCCAATGACTTGGCCCGTATAACCTGGACTTCAGGAAGACTACTTTGGCCGGGTGTTGAGATGGGGAGCTTAGTGTCTGCACAGCATCCATTGCTGTCGATTCCGCCATGCTCGTGACCCCATCAAGCCCTACGTCCGTGAATGGTATGGGAGGAGTCTCCAGGTTTATGCTGAGTGGCGCCGTCAAAGGACCAAGATTGTTGGTATCGAACCAGCCTGTAGCCCCCGTATCGAGAGCTGTGGTACTGGTTGGAAGTAATGTGTTCATGTCAGCGGCATTGGTGAAAGTATCATGGTAATTGACCGTCGTGGGGTTGGGCAATTGCATCCTTGGTCCAAAGTTATGTATCGCCGGAACAGCTGTTGACGAGGATCGTCGGTGCTGGGGCTTAACGCTATTATCCTGGTCGCTGGAGAAGTCGGCGCTCGCGGAATATGAGTTGTACGAATTGTAGTAGGTGCAAGGGGAGTTAGATTGAATGCACTGGGCGCAGGGAGTATTTCGATCGCATGCGATCTTGCGTCGACGACACTCCGTGCATACAACAGCCTGCCTTCGGCGTTTACGAGACGGTCCACCCTGGCTTGTTTGAGCGCACATATTTTCGCTCTGGTCTCTCACTATTTGTGAGAGTTAGAGAAAGAGCAAGGTAGGTAGCGGTACACTGCAAAAACAAAAAAGAAAAACAAGGCCTAACGAGTGCCCCAAGCCGCGAATTGAGAGGACAATAGTCATTATATCATTTGTAGAACTTTGACTACTAGTTACACGACGAAATAAGAATCTCATCTCATTGACTCGAGTGACTTGCGTACGACTACTGGTTCGGCCATGATTTACCATTGCTGCCTCGTAATTGTGTTCTCACCCTGGCTGATAATAGCCTCGTGAACCACTTATCAATCAGTTCATGTAAGATCGAACGAATAAAAGCTTTGTGGAATAGCCGGGAACTAACTCCTGACGGATGAGCAACATTCCAAGTAATAGCAGGAATAAACGAGTGGCGGACGGTGAGAGACAGGCACAAGCAAATGGTCAGCGTCACCTGTCTATACATTAGCCGCAGCTATCGTACAGTATCATGCAGTAAGTAAGGGGAGAAGTATCAGTAAAACTAATTCGTTGATTGGCCCGAGGCCGGAGAGGCTGTAGAGGTCACAAACAGGAATATTTCAGTTCACCACAGAATGGTGTACTTTTGGAGAGAGTTTCCTGTCAGCTTACGGGCTGCAGCTCGCAAAACTTGACCTGTTTCCACGCGCAGGTCTCGAATAGGCAATTGCGTGAGGAATCCCTACTGAGAGACAAGTAGCTAGTTTCACATTTTATGGAGAGCGTAACGGATATACATTGATATACGCGTGTATTATAGCAGATGTGGCTGGTCCAAGAGACCTTTTCATTGGAGGACGTTGGAGCTGGTGTGGAATCCAAGAGAGGGGAAGCTGTTGTTTATCACGGCGAATGAATGGGAGAGATGAGGGGAAGGACAACGATGATATGCGTAAATTGATACCACCGAACGAGCTACCGTTTCAATTCGTAAACTAGCTTAACCCCGCTAACATCCCCCTTGCGCATCCTGTCTAGACCTTTGATCACACCATCTAAGTCATCCAAGCCTTGGTCAAGAGGATGTGGGCGAATCTCCCCGGGAGTGTCGACCAGTACCTGTGTGCTTCGATACCAGATCTCAGCGAAGGCTCGGTCCTTGGGCCGAGCAGGCCTCCCAAATGGTCTTGGCGACTGGACCTCTTTGCCGAACATGGTGTAAATAAGAACGTATTCAGGTTTGATATCACGGCGTGTATGCCCACGTAGCGGTACAGGATCCAGGCCCATGTATTTACCACCTGCACGCCCCATGGCTGTGTAGCAGATTCGCATGGAGCCGAGATCGGTGATACAGTCAAAGGTGTAAGCAAGGTTGTCAGACGTATATCGTCTTATGTCATCCCCGCAGGTGGGGGAATGGTAATCGAACGCTTCCTCGGCGCCCAGCTCCTTGACCATAGCGAAGTTATGAGGAGAGCAGGTACACACCGGTACAAGTCCGGACTTGCGAATCATCTGCAAGGCTATCGCTCCGCAGGCAGTGCTCCCGCCGTACACAAGCACGTATTGGCTGCTTTCAGGCTCTCGGGGCGTCTTAAGGGCGGATCGTAAGGGTTCCGTGAGATTCCCCACATCTCTTGCGGCATCCTTTTCCATTGCGTCTGCGTCCCGGCGCGCTATCGTGCGGCCCGACACTGGATGCGTCGGGTAGGGCAGCCGAAGGTTCCATTGAGAATATACCGCCATCCCCACCGTGGGAAGCGCAACGCCAAGGCTGGCACACTGCGGATACGAGAGATGAGACGGGACCAAATAGAGCAGATCCCCGGCAACAGCCACGAAGTTAGCGAAAGCCCCGTTGTCTGGCCGATTAGGATGGTTTCCCCAAACGCAGCCGAATACGGCCACCCCCGCCTTCAACTGCTTATTCTTGACTAACGGGCCCACTTGGACTACATCCCCGGCAAACTCGCACCCTGCCGTTGCCCCGATGTTGGGGGCCATATCGATGACCTTGGCATCCACCGGATTGATCGCCACACATCTTACTCGAACCAAGACCTCGTCGTCCTCGAAACCAGGTAGCGGGCATGCCTCATCCAGCTCAAGCATGCCCGGGCCTCTCACTTTGAGGGCTCGCTGAGTGCTCGGCAACGGGTCCATTTGATGAGGAGTAAAACCCTGATTTCACGAATCACCCGTTCAGGCGTTATCGGGTCAAGTGTCGCTGTGGTACTGGGGTGGAAAACAATTTAGTTGATGTCATTTGAGGATATTTCAGTGATTTGTATGAACCCGATGGATGGGACAAACTTGGGTTTGTAATGCGCTCCTTCGTGTAAGCCATAATGGACCCATAGAAGCAACATCCTCTAATCAGAATGCTCAATCTAATGGTATACCATCCCCATCGTTCACAAAAAGAATTTGGTTCAGCATAAGCGGAGCTCCTCCATCCCTCGGGGAGTTAAAGGCTACGATCCTTGCAGCAGGGCTTATTAGAGGCCTTCTTCATTCGGGGAGTTATCCCATTCAGCCTCATACGGACGTAACCAAGCCCCGAAAGGATGTCTAACCTGGACTTAACGCGATCACTTGCTGGTTCTAGAATGGCTCAAGGATGCAAACTCCGTTGCCATAGCCTAGATTGCGCACGGAGTAACGCTTTACGAGGGTCGCTATAGACGTAAGTCAAGGCCACGACTAGAGATAATAATCGGGTTGGAAATGTACTTCTCTTGAGAGGACCAGGCTAAGCTGGGATATTTATATCGTGTATATCCAATATATCCCGCCATGAGCCTGTAAACCCGAATTTTGTTGTTAGTCTACTATATGAACAAAGATGTCTAAACCAGTGGGTATCATCGGCTCCGCATGCCGCTTCCCTGGAGGAGCCGACTCACCATCCAAGTTGTGGGAATTGCTGAAGGAGCCCAGGGATATTGTCAGCGAGTTTACTCCCGACAGACTGAACCTGTGGAGCTTCTACCATCAGAATGGGGAGCATCACGGTAGTACGGACGTCCAGAACAAGAGCTATCTTCTTTCCCAAGACATCCGTCTGTTCGACGCATCCTTTTTCCGCATAAGCCCTGCAGAAGCAGAAGCCATGGACCCACAACAGCGCATACTTTTGGAAACTGTGTATGAAGCCTTGGAGTCTGCTGGCTGCCCCCTTGAGCAACTTCGAGGATCTCTGACGTCAGTTTATGCTGGGCTGATGAACGGTGACTATGCTGATATTCAAGCGCGTGACCTCGAGACGATACACACCCATCACGGAACTGGCACGCATCGAAGCATCTTGTCAAACCGCATATCATATTTCTTGGACATTAAAGGTGCCTCCATGACTATAGACACAGCCTGTTCAAGCTCTCTGGTGGCCTTGCACCAAGCAGTACAAAGCCTACGTTTAGGCCAGAGTGACATGGCAATTGTTGCGGGAGCCAACCTCTTGCTGGATCCAACCATGTACGTCGCTGAATCAAAGCTACACATGCTGTCACCAGACTCCCGCTCTCGCATGTGGGATGCATCGGCCAATGGTTATGCCCGTGGAGAAGGATTTGCAGCTGTCGTATTGAAGCCCCTAGAGACAGCCATGCGCGATGGGAATCAGGTCGAGTGCGTCGTTAGAGGCATAGCTGTGAACTCGGACGGCCGAACCCCAGGCATCACAGTACCAAGCGCTTCGGCACAGACGGAGTTGATCAGAGAGGCATATAAGGACGCTGGCCTGGACCCTCTGGTTGACCGCTGTCAATTCTTCGAGGCACACGGCACCGGTACTCGAGCCGGAGACCCAGTTGAAGCAAGGGCCATACGGGATGCCTTCTTCCCAGAAGGCAGCGAGGATCAAACTGCCCCAGGCAAGCTACTGGTGGGCTCTATCAAGACAGTAATCGGGCATCTTGAGGGCTGTGCCGGTCTGGCTGGTGTGTTGAAGGCATCTCTTGCCATGCAGAACAAGACAATCCCACCTAATATGCACTTCTCCAAGTTAAACCCCGCTATTGTACCATTATATGATCGTCTAGAGGTTCCTACTAGACCCTCCGCATGGCCCACAGTCCCAGTGGGATCCCCCCTCCGCGCCAGCGTCAACAGCTTCGGGTTTGGAGGCACTAATGCTCACGTCATCCTCGAGACAATTGAGGCACCCACGAGGAAGCAACAGGACATGGAGCAGTGTGAGAATGAGCGGTTTGTAGGACCGCTACTCCTGTCAGCGAATTCTTGGGACTCTCTCGTGCGTTCAGTCGAAGTTCACGCTGGCTACATTCGTAATAACAATCAAATTAACCTCGACGATCTGGCATGGACTCTGCAGTCTCGACGCACACATTTTGGGAACAACCGTGCTTTCTTCTCGGGGGCTACACGACAGAAGCTTTTATCGTATATGGATACCTTTGTCGCTGACAACTCGAGTTCCACCACCGCATCTTCGTCCTTTAGTGGTGACGGCCCTTCTCATGCACTCCTTGGGGACGACGGCCCTGCAATCCTGGGTATATTTACTGGCCAGGGTGCCCAGTGGCCATCAATGGGTCGCAATCTGATTCTTCATAACCCCCTGTTCCGGGAATCAATCACCCGCTGTGAGGCGTCACTGGCGGCGCTGGGAGCGGATGCACCATCGTGGTCTCTGACCCAGGAGCTTCTCTCTGAGGGAAACAACTCCCGTGTCAGCGAAGCAGCTATATCGCAGCCTCTCTGCACGGCGGTCCAAATTGGTCTTGTCGACATTCTGCGTGCCAGTGGCATCGTGTTCCGTGGCGTTATAGGCCATTCGTCGGGCGAGATTGCGGCTGTGTATGCAGCCGGCATCGTATCAGCCCATGACGCCATCCGAATCGCGTATTACCGTGGCTTCCACGCGAAACTAGCTAAAGGATCGGGGGGTCACCGTGGTGCCATGTTAGCTGCAGGGATGTCGCACGAGAGTGCTAACGAGCTATGTGGAAGGCCAGACTATACAGGTCGTGTTAGTGTTGCTGCTGCGAATGCCCCCACCAGTGTTACTTTGTCCGGTGATGTGGGTGCTATCGATGAGCTCAAAGCGCATCTTGATAGTGAAAGGATATTTGCTAGGAAGCTGAATGTCGACACAGCATACCACTCGCACCACATGGAGCCTTGTTCAGCTGCTTATCTCGCATCACTAAAAGCATGCGATATCCAGATACAACAGCCTAACGAGAACTGTGTGTGGGTGTCGAGCGTGCGGGGAGATGCAGACCTCGTCCTAGATAATGAGGATGAAAGCGGTCTAGGCATTCTGAAGGATCAATATTGGGTTGAGAATCTTCTCAGTCCAGTTCTGTTTGCACCAGCGGTGGAGTCCTCCCTCTGGAGGGCTGGTCCTTTCGACATTGTGACGGAGGTCGGGCCTCACCCTGCACTTAAAGGTCCCAGCACGCAGATATTCAAGGCCTCATTGGGCCGTTCGATCCCATATTTCAGCATCATGCGCCGTGGAGACGACGAGGTTGAGGCTTTCTCGGGAGGCCTGGGCTATCTCTGGGAGCACTTTGGGCCTGCCGCCGCAATTGACTTCGATGGCTATCGTCGGGCCTTTGATCAAAAAGACAATGCGAAATACCCACAGCTGGTTAAGGGATTGCCCCCATACTGTTGGGATCACAGCAAGGTACATTGGAAGGAGTCGCGTATTTCACACAACTTCCGGCTCCGCGACCGACACGTTCATGAACTGCTAGGCCGCAGAGCAACCGATGACACGCCCGAGCTCCTACGATGGCGCAACATTCTTCGACCATCTGAAATCCCTTGGGTTAGGAACCATGTTTTTCAAGGGCAGATTGTCCTTCCTGGCGCTGCCTATATCGCCGCCATCACCGAGGCGGTCCAAGGACTCGCAGACGGTAAACCCATTAAGCTGGTCGAGCTGGTGGATTTCAAGATACCCAAGGCGGTTGTTCTGCACGAGAACAAATCAACAGAGCTCATAACAACTGTTCGTCTTGTCCAAAAGAGCAACACATTCATATCTGCCGACTTCGTGTTCTCGGCAGCCTCGGCAGATGATGCAGCCAGCATACTCGAGCGGACATGCAGCGGGACTGTTCAGGTTCATATTGAAGAAGCTTGTTCCAGCCAGTCACCACTGCCATTGCCTAGTCCACCGCCGCCAAACCTAAACGATGTGAACATCGAGGCGTTCTATACAAGACTTAGGGAGCTGGGTATTGACTACCAGGGTTCATTCCGAGCTACCAAGCTCGCCCAACGGACTATGGGCTATGCTTCTACCCAAGCATCCTGGGAAGCGGCAGAGCTTGGTAATACATACACACTGCACCCTGCAATATTAGATGTTGCATTCCATGCTGTCTTCGCGGCGTTTGCATCCCCGTTGACCGGCCAGATGTGGGCCATGTACCTTCCAGTGGGCATCCGACGAGCAACCATTCATCTGGACAGCTTACCACTCCGCGGGGATGCTGAAGTCCATGCCACCATCTCCGCCCAAGTAACATTTTCGTCGGCAACGAAGCTTGATGGGGATATACAGATCATGTTTGGCTCTTCCGTAGGCGTGCAGATTGAGGGTGTGCAGCTACAAGCGACTGGGGACCCCATGGCTAGTAGGGACAGAGTGCTGTTCTCCAATACCCGCTGGGACAGTGATATTTCCACAGGGATTGACAAGGTCGTGCTGGAACAGTCACCCGATCGTGCAGCAGATGAGGAGCTAGTAGAGGCCATGGGCCGTACGGCCCTCTACTACTACCGCGCACTCCTAAGTGAGATCTCACCCCAGGAGATTCAGAGCTTGTCCTGGCATCAGCAGATGTACTGGCAATCAGCGCAACACTGGGTCAATGAAGCTGGCTCTGGGCGACATCCGACGATTAAAAGCGAGTGGCTAGAAGACTCGCGCGATGCTGTGTGGAGTCAAGCAGAGAACTGTCAAGAGACCATCGACATTTGCCTCATGCGTGCCCTAGGCGAAAATCTGCCATCGATCGCGCGCGGTCAGACACAGCCCCTGGAGGTGATGATGGAGAACGACATGCTAAGCCGTTTCTACACCGAGGCATATGGACTAGATGGCATGAATGATCACATTGCGCGCGCAGTCAGCCAGGTCACCCATCGCTATCCGCAAGCCAACATACTCGAAATCGGTGCGGGTGTCGGGGGAACTACCCGGAAAGTGCTACGCGCAGTGCAGAACTCTTTCAAGCATTATACCTTTACCGACATTTCCTCGGGATTTTTCGAAAAGGGAGCTGAAAAATTCTCAAATTACCGCCACAAAATGACTTTCAAAGTTTGTGACATTGAGAAGGATCCTGTTGACCAGGGTTTCGATGAGGGCGCTTACGATGTGATCGTTGCTGCCAACGTTCTGCACGCCACACGTTGTCTCGCCGACACCATGCGCAATGTCCGGCGTCTCTTGAAGCCAGGTGGGTTTCTAGTCTTGATGGAAATCACAGGCGACCTCTTGCGTCTCGGCTTTATCATGGGCACACTACCGGGATGGTGGCTTGGCCCACAAGTGGGAGACGAGGGCCGCCAGTGGGCTCCTGGCATCTCCCCGGTACAATGGGATGACCTCCTGCTGCGGACCGGCTTCTCTGGCGTGGACCAATTTGTCCCTGACCATGAAGAGTCGCATAAGCACTATTTGTCAACGCTCGTGAGCCAGGCTGTTGATGCCCAATTTGACGTACTGCGCAGTCCTCTATCCGATCTAAAGCTGGTCCCAGCATTACCCCATAAGCTGCTCATATTGGGTGGGCAGACGCTTACTGTGGCTAGACTGGTCAGAGGTTTGAAGCGGATGCTTGCCGCTTGGGATGCCACAATCGAGACAGTCCCCAGTCTTGATCTACTCACCCTCGGCCCAGATGAGCGAGTGTCTATCATCAGTTTAATCGAGTTGGACCAGCCACTGTTTGCTAGCGATCTGACGGCAGTGAGGCTGGAAAGACTTCAGGCAATTTTGGATGTTTCGGAAACCGTTCTCTGGGCTACAACTGGATGCCGGGGCTCCAACCCAATATCGAACATGTTTGTTGGTATAGCTCGGGCCTTGCGTACCGAACGGAGCGATATCAACTTGCAGCTCCTGGATATTGCAAAGCCATCAGCCGCGAACACTGTAGTGCTGGCGGAAGGCTTTCTGCGGTTGGCTTTAATGAAACAGGAACACTATGTTGATAAAGACATGCTGTGGTCGACAGAGGCAGAGCTCGCTCTGGATAGAGAGACCTTGCTGATTCCTCGTCTCATCCCTGATAAAGCACGCAATGAGAGATACAATGCATCGCGACGTGCAATCAATAAGCATGTCACCCTGGCAAGCGCGGAAGTCGAAGTCAATATCAATGGTGATATGGTGTCCATTCTTGGGGTAGACTCTGGCATTTTTCGCCGCCAATGGATGTCTCATAGCATTGAGCAAATCGCGCTAAAGGTACATTTATCAATGGCTCTGACCCAATCAGATCCAATGTACTTCTTATGCTATGGTGTTATTGATCCTGAGTGCGGAAATGCCTTCGCTATATCGTCGGAAAACAAGTCTATCATTCTGTGCACTCCACAAGACAGCCTTCGGGTAGATTCTAAACCCATAGAAGGGAAAGAAGCGTTAGTGCTTGAAGCTATCGCTAGTCAGATCATCTGTCGAAGCCTCGCAGTTAGCATTCCTCAATGGGGCGGAGTGTTAGTATACGAGCCACCGTCTGAGAGCTTTGCCAAAGCGATTGAATGTAGCAGTCTGTGGAAAGGTCGCAAAGTTTACTATGCAACAAGCGGGGCACATGCAACGTTGCATTCAAACTGGATCTATATCAGCCCTCACGCGCTAAGTTCCTCAATTAGGAGGGCGTTGCCGCGTGACATAACGGTCTTGGTAGACTGCTCTAGGCCGGAATCCCGAGATATCCGGGGCCTTGTTCCCCGTGGGTGCGTCATCAGACACTTCAAGCCCTCTCTCCTCGAGATAGACAATAGGGAACTCCAAAGCGCATATGCAGATGCCCTTGTCGCTGTGAGCAAGGGAAAGCAAACCGAGTTGGTAATCCATCCACTTCGATCGCTTGCAGGAATCCCTTCATCTACTTTGGCATACCCTGCGTTGGTCGACTGGCGTCAGCAGCAGGATGAGCCATTGACAGTCCAGCTCAAGCCATTTATACCGACAGGAATCTTCTCTTCATGTAAGACGCATCTAATGGTGGGCTTGAATGGCGATCTGGGTCAATCCATCTGCGGCTATATGGTTCGGAACGGAGCTCGACACATCGCCATTTCCAGCCGACGTGGTGAGGTGGACCCGGCCTGGCTCGATATGATACGACAAGACTATCAAGCTGATATTCGTCTTTACAAGATGGATGTAACAAGCCGACGATCAATCCGACGGACCCTTGACCAGATCAAAACCGAGATGCCCCCAATTGGGGGAGTGGCCAATGGAGCAATGGTCCTTCACGACAAGATGTTTTTGAATATGGACGTTAACTCTTTGAATGATACATTGAAGCCAAAAGTAGAGGGGTCACGATATCTGGATGAAGAGTTCTCAACTCCCGAGCTCGAATATTTCATCCTATTTTCCTCTGTAGCTACCGTTGGAAATAACCGTGGTCAAGGCAACTATCATGCAGCCAACTTGTTCGGGGCCAGCCTCGTTTCCAACCGCAGGGCTAGGGGAATGGCAGGCTCGGTGATCCACGTGGGCGTTATAGCTGATGCAGGCTACATCACAAGACAAGACGAGAGGCTGGTAGAGCACCTCCGCAAGCAAGGCTTTATGCCAGCATCTGAGACAGACGCCCACTTCCTATTTGCAGAGGGAGTGCTTGCAAGCCCTGTCGACTCACAGATGGATGCCGATATTTGCATGGGGTTCGAGCCCTTCCTGGACAGTCCTGATGCACCGCTCAGGCCACCTTGGTACAGCGACTCGCGGCTCTCGCATTTCATCATGTACCCCGAAAAAGACCGAGTTGACTTGCGACAAGGGGCCAACAATGGGCTGCATATCAGACAGAAGCTGGATGAAGTACAGTCGGTGCAAGAAGCCCATTCTCTCTTGCAAGAGGCCTTTTCCGCAAAGCTTGAGTCCATGATGCAGTTAGATTCTGGGAGCGTAAACGTCCATGTTCCTCTTCTTGACCTGGGCTTTGACTCCCTTCTTGCTGTGGAGACACGCACCTGGTTCTTGAAGGAGATCCATCTTGACGTACCAGTACTGCGCTTTCTTGGCGGAGACACAATCAGTGAGATTTGTATGGACACAGCAACTCAGTATCTTGCGATACAAGCGGAACGCAGCCCGGAGAAGGCAAAGGTTGCAACAAATGCAACTAACACTGGCGCTATTAACGGTACCACTACAAGTAAAGACGACCGGTCCCAGACAACATCGCCAGTACCAACAAGCGAAAGCGGCGAGCCATCTTCAAGTCCACGGACATCAACCTCTCTGGACGTGCAGAATGTTCCAGACAGTCCGAGCACGCCTTTAAGTAGGGCCTGGACGCCAGCAAGTGTATTGGAAGTAGAAGAGAAGACTGGCTCGTCAAAGTTTGCTTCTGACAAATCAAAGGCGGAAGTATTTTCAGGTACTCCACCCCAGGAACGTGTGGTGAGGAATACCTCCAGAGTCGAATCCATGTCTTACGCTCAATCTAGGCTCTGGTTCCTGGGGCAATATATAGATGACCCAACCACTTGCAATATCGTTGTCTCGTACGCCATTAGGGGACCCCTAGATGTAGGGAGATTCCGCGAAGCACTCAACACGGTCATTGCCCACCATGCCAGTCTCCGAACTTGCTTCTATGCCGACGAAGAGACGGGTGAGCCTACGCAGGGTCTTTTGCGCAGCCCCTTCAATTCATCCCCGCTCAGGTATCTCCACGCATCGAGCTGTGAGGATGTGCAACTTGAGTTTGACGCTTTGCGATATCACACATGGGACCTGGCCTACGGAGACACATTTGCCTCCACGCTACTGTCCACTGAGACCGAAAATGAATTTGTCATTATTTTTGGATATCACCATATTGTCATCGACGGCGTGAGCTGGTACACAATTTTGCGAGATCTTGAGCGAGCCTACATCTTGCAACCATTAAGTCGGCAACTGAAGCAGTGTCTGGATGTGTCGGTCGAGCAGCGAAGGGCAGTAGAGTCTGGGGCCATGGATGATGAGATAGCTTTCTGGGGAACAGTGCACGCCACACTGCCTGACGTGTTGCCCCTGCTCCCCATTTCATCTGCTCGACGCCGGCAGCCCCTTCGCCAGTATGAAAGCCATACAATCAAAAGGGATATTGGAAGGGACCTTGTGACCAAGATCAAGGATGCAAGCAGGGCTTTGCGGGTAACGCCGTTCAATCTGTATCTCGCGACCGTACAGGTGCTTTTTGCCAAGATGATGGGAATCGAGGAGCTATGCATCGGGGTAACGGATGCCAGTCGCACTGATGACAACGTTGCAGAGACTGTTGGATTCTTCCTAAATATGCTTCCGCTACGCTTCAAGATTGACCGCCAGAGACCATTCACAGACCTAGTCCAACGAACGTCCAGACACGTCCTCGAGGGTCGGAGCAACGGCCGCGTCCCAATAGATGTGATCCTCGACCATCTTAATGTGCCGCGGGATGCGTCCTTCAGCCCATTATTTCAGGTCACATTCAATTATCGCGTAGGTGCCATGGCAGAGACGAGCTTAGGGAAAGACTGTCGTCTGTCCGTCGAGGCCATCCGTGACGCGGAGAGCCCGTTCGATCTCGGCTTTGGCATCTACGAGACGGCAGAGGGGTCGTGCGACGTACAGGTCATGGCACAGAGCTACCTGTATGACAGGGATGCAGCCGAACTTATAATGACGTCTTATGTTCAGCTACTGGATCTCCTATCCTTTGACACGTCGCAGAAGCTAGACCGGTACAGTCTTTTCGATGCAACCGCCATAGAGAAGGGAATCTATGTCGGCAAGGGACAGCGCAAGTCATACGATTGGCCTGATACACTTTCAAAAAGAGTGGATGGTATCATCAAGAGCCACGGGGATAGTGTCGCCATCATTGACTCCAATGGAGCTCTCACATATGCAGAGCTTGAAGACAAGATTCGGTTAGTAGAGTCAGCCATCCACAAGGAGAGGCCTACGCAAGGGTCACGTATAGCAGTCTTTTGCCAACCTTCAGCCAGCATCATCATCTCAATGTTAGCAATATTACGGCTCGGTCATGTATACGTGCCGCTCGACACAAACCTTCCTAAAGAACGCCATTCTGCAATCCTTGCTGACTGCAAGCCCTCTATGCTCCTGTGCCATCAAGATACTGTGGACTCGGCGTTGTCGCTGCGCAGGGACATCTCCATCGTCAATCTTTCCATCCTCTCGAATGGAGACCAGGCCACAGGCACCGGTGCTGGGGATGATCTTTCCGATCCAACTAACCCAGCCTTCCTCTTCTACACTAGCGGTTCGACCGGAAGACCCAAGGGTATTCAGCTGAACCAATTCGGGTTCCTGAACCACCTCGCCGTAAAGACGGACGAGCTCTCGCTGCACGGTGAAACGGTGTTGCAGCAGAGCTCTTTCGGCTTCGACATGTCCCTAACACAGACATTCTGTGCTCTCGCTAATGGCGGCTCACTACTAATCGTGCCGGCGGCCTCTCGCGGCGACCCCATAGCGCTCTCCAAGCTAATGCTCAAACAGTGCGTAACATTCACCATCGCCACCCCATCGGAATACGCCATGTTGCTGCGGTATGGATATGACTGGCTATGTAAATGCGCACACTGGACGCATGCATGCACGGGCGGCGAGGAGGTTTCGCAGCAGCTCGTACGGGCGTTCATCAATCTGGGGAATCCCAACATGCAGTTAACGAACTGCTACGGGCCGACTGAGACATCCCTTGCCGTGACATTTGACAAGATCTCGATAAATACCGCCAGCAGGTTCACAGAGCACGCGTCAGTTGGCAGGGTCCTACCCAACTACTCGGTCTACATCCTGGATGAGAACTCTTCGGAACCTGTACCACTAGGCTATCCGGGTGAGATCTGCGTAGGTGGCGCTGGCGTCGCACTAGGCTATCTGAACCTTCCCAATCTTTCTACTGCAAAGTTCGTGCTTGATCCCTTCGCGGATGCAGATGATGTGGCTCGAGGGTGGACGCGCATGTTCAAGACGGGCGACCGAGGAAGGTTACAAGCCGACGGAACCCTAGTCTTCATGGGACGGAAAGAAAACGATAACATGGTCAAGCTGCGTGGTTTACGGATCGACTTAGATGACGTAGCGAATACCATTGTCCAGACGGCCAGTGATATCGTTGCTGAGGCTATTGTTACGGTTCGTGGAGAGGACGAGGCACGGATGCTGGTTGCGCATGTTGTGCTACATTCAGAACATAACAAGACACTCGCTGCAGCTGAACTGCAGAGTCTTGGACATCGCTTGCCTCTTCCTGTATACATGCACCCCTCGCTTGTTGTCGCGGTAGAACGTTTGCCGCAGACGCCAAACGGAAAGGTCGATCGCAGAGCGATCGAGAGCATGGATCTTCCAAGATGGGAGCGGTCAGATCAAGGGAATAACCGGAAGCTTTCGTTAGAGGAAGGGGAGCTGAGTTTATTATGGGAGGAGGTGCTTGGTCAATCCTTGGCAGTATCCCGAGCCAGCCTAACGTCCGATTCCGATTTCTTTTTGGTTGGTGGGAGTTCTCTCTTGTTGATGCAGCTACAAGGGGCCATTAGGGAAACTCTGGGGCTAGCAGTCCCTATCACAGAGCTGTACCAAGACTGCACATTGGGCCGCATGGCGACACGCCTCCATTCCGAGAAACGGCAGCAAGGCCCAACCGATGAGGTTGATTGGGACATGGAAACCGAGGTCCAGACGTCGTTGTCAAGTAGCCAAACGAGCCACCCTAGTTCTATTCAAGATACCAACATCGAGGTTCTGCTGACAGGGGCACATACCTTCCTCGGTGCCGAGGTTCTGCAAGCATTGATCAAAGACAACAATGTGAAGCGGGTTCATTGCATTGCTCTTCCCAAAGCTTCTAGCAAAAGCTTCTCTCGATCGAGCAAAATCGCCTACTATCCCGGTAGTCTCCAGTCTGACTCCCTTGGTTTATCTTCCGATGGAATTTCCTTCCTGCAGTCGCGCATCGACCTCATTATCCACGCCGGAAGTGTTGGGCACTGCCTAAACAATTACTCTTCCCTGTGCCAGCCAAACCTTGGTTCGCTGCGCTTCCTTGTCGACTTGGCTCTCCCCCGCCACATACCCGTGCACTTCATCTCATCCAACCGCGTGACACTTCTCTCCGGCCAATACGCATTCCCGCCCATCTCAATGAGCCCATACCGACCCCCCAGTGACGGATCCGAGGGCTACACAGCCTCTAAGTGGGCCGGGGAACGACTCCTCGAGAAGGTTGCGCAAACAACAGGGCTCAGCGTGACAATTCATAGGCCATGCGCGGTGATTGGACACAACGCACCCAGCGAGGACGCCCTCAACGCACTATTGCGTTTTGCCGTTACACAGAACGCGGTTCCGCGCTTTCGGAATCTGACTGGCTTCCTCGACTTTGCACCCGTGGCCGAGGTGGCTGCCAATATTAGCCGGGTGGCGCTTAAGAAGGCTCACCCTGGTAACTCCAGGGGATGCATCCTTAATGCAGCGTCCATTGGGGATTATCCTGTTACCATCGTGCACCATTCCAGTGGTATTAGGACTCCTGTGTCTCATTTCCGTACTCGTATGGAGAAGCTATACGGACACGACTTTGGTGAGCTGGATATTGTGGAATGGATCGCTGAAGCTGTGAAGGGAGGCATGGATCCCCTGATTAGCACGTACTTGGAGGCCCTTGTCGAAAAGGATCAGATGATTGGATTCCCATATCTGGGTGAGCCGCTCACTTGATCTTCTGTAATGAGGATTTTGTATTTTGTTATCCCTTGCTGGGGATTGTTTCCATATTGTTTGTTTAATTGCTGCTGTCCAGTTTGAAGAGAAGTTTCATAGCAAAGAATGGCCTTCAGGATAAAAAGTATATAATGTGTTAGCGGTGTTTCGGAGTTAGTTGAGTATTAAATATTTCTCGATTCAGAGATAAGACAAGGAGAAATTCGTCTTGTGGTTGTAACCACTGAAGTTGTCTGTTTGTTCATTGTTTAACCGCTTCACTAAAAGCCCGATCTGCTATATCAAGCACTAAACTCAATCTAGTATCTCGTAGTACAATTTTGAAAGTGTACTAGCTGGACTAGGTTAGCCTAGTCTACCGCTTAATAAAGGATACCTAAATTGAAAATTTATCCCAACTCAGCAGACAGAACACTATCTAGTACTCAACCCCCCTTTCTTCTCTTTTCTTCTTTTTTTTACTTCTCCTATATTCTACCCTTTTTGTAATTCTGTCCTCTTGTGTATTAAGGATTTATTTTCTAGAAATGAAACCTGTTGAATACATACGAATTACGAAATTCCACTGTCAAGGTGCTATATATAGTTTGGTGCAATACCTCGCCAACGAACAAAGCATTCCTCATCTAGTCTTCTCCCTCTCTGCTTCGTCTCTATATCTTTATCTTTCTCCTTATGTTAGTCTCTCGCACGCCGTCCTTCGTATTTCTTTTCCTTCCTGCTTTCGCTCCTTCTCTTTTGTTTTCCGTTTTCGTTTTTTTATTTCTGTATCCCACTCTTCCCAAGCAAGTTTACAATCCGACTCCGTTCCGAAGCCAAGTGCCGCTGTGCGTCTGAAATAGCACCAGTAGTCAAATTCGAACGGATCTAAACTGAAGTCGTCGCCGTTGCTATTCTCTCCGATATTCCAAATATGATCAATCGCCCACGTGAGCCAAATAGGCGGAGGTGGGAGCTTGCGGAAATATTCACTGCCGGGTATTCATACTGAGCCAAGATCTATCCAAGCTATATTGAAGACCTATTTGACTCACGTAAAGCCTTTCTAGTGGGATCGAATATCCTTGGGGGAAACGACCTCCCCGTAGCTTCTGGCCTTTGGGTTTTGAGCGTCCCGCACGAGTCACGCTGACTGTTGACTCACTGAATCCAGCTTCGATTTTTATCTCCACTATTTAGAGATTTGATTAGGGGATAAACCTGACGGTGGGTTTTCAGGCTGGCAGCGTCGCCAGACGGCGTCTGCCTCAGGGTTGGATCCCATGAAAAAACAGCCAAGAGGGCGAACGACGTGCTGCAACACGATGTCTGCGCCTTCATCGTACAACGCTCCTATATTGTCTTCCATCGACGCAAAGCTAGAATGATACGACAGAGAAGCGTACTGGGTAACGTAGTCCCGATTGTGATTCTGCAGATTGCACATGATCTTAAAGCCACAATGCTGCGATCCCATTTTCACAAAGAGCAACACTTGTGCGTACAGGTGTGCCATGCGGATGGGAGGGGTTTGGTTCGCGGTCCAGTTCACTTCTGTGCTGCTGCCCCCGTCATCACCGTCCTTCTGGCACTTGGCGTAGAGAATCTTGGTGCTGACGATGGTGTCGTTCCTGCCGGTCGAGATCATACAGTAGCCCAGCTTTTTGGCTGGCGGCTGGGACGTCAACCTGTTCCTCCACATTCTCGAAGATAAGGGTTGTTCTCCCGAGCCTTTGCATTGAGGTTAGGGTCTTGTCCGTCTTGGTCGATGAAATCGTCGTTGTCCATACTCCGCTGGTAGACCGGCATGGACTTGAAATTCATCATGCCGTTGTAGTTGACGTCCTCGAACAGATAGTCGTAACAACTCTCGTCGGGTTCTCGGCCCTGGATAGGAAACGGGCAGCCGATATCGTAAACGGGGGTAAACAACGGCGGGAAGTGTTTCGCCAGGAGTGGGTTGACGACGGTATTGGTGTCAGATGCGTCCCGGTCGTCTTCGGGCAGCAGACAAAGCGCCCGTTGCAGGTGTGGAGACTTGGTAATCAGGCTGTTCCATGACTTGCAAACTCGTACTGCGGAGACGAGCAGGGTTTGCATGTCAAGATGGAGCAGAATCTGCTCAAGCAGCTCGGGTATGCCGATTCGATGTATTACTCGGGTCTCTGCTTTGGTGCGTTCCTTTCTATCCGCCGGCAGAGAACCCACTCTCGACCCGTCCGGTTCCGCAGGACACGGTGTGTTTGGCATTGGCATGTCGTTGTAAGTCAGTGTTTCATGAGGACATTTAGGTGACATCAGTGGGATTGGCGGTTTCGCTGGGGACAGGCTATGTATAAAACTAATGAGTTGCCTGCCAGGCAGCGAACGCACTTCTTATGGGCGTTGCCAAGCAGAATAAACATGGCGATTTACCACTATGTTTCTACGCCTGCGACAAAGGCAGAGCTAGCGTCAGCAACTAGCGCCACCTGCTGGACACCGAGATCCAAGAATTAATCCATACAATAATCTCTTCCTGGCTCCAAAAAATGAACAACCGCGTACCATCGACCGCTTCACACAAATCTTCCATAATGTGGCCAGCCACATCCCACGTGAATCTCGCTCCTGGGTGCACAGCGCATTGGCGAGGAATTCCATTATCAGAAGCACCTTTTTCGTATCACGGACCGTGAGTCGGATTATGGTAGCAGTCCCAAACTGGCGCTCTCGGTCTTTTCCAACCTCGTATACGGCAGATCCAGCAAGTCTGCCTTACGGCTTGGCGAGGCTTATTTATTTGCTGGCTCCCTCACCAGGCTCCCACTTAGGCTTCCGTTAACAGCTCTGGAAGTGCCACCGCGCACAACAGCGTCAACCCTACATGGACAAATTACAATTATCGCAGTATGGCTGGGAGCGCCTGGCCAGGGCCAGCCTCCATGACAGCATTGTCGGCTGTCTCATCGGATCCGCGCTGGGCGACGCGGTCGGTCTTTACACCGAGTTCCTCTCGGGCGACATGTCGGCCACCGCATATCCCGCGCGCAAGTTTGTCCTCTCCCCGGAGTCGCAGGCGACTCCGTTCCACAGAGACTCGCACAGAGGACCGCATCGACCCGGCGAGTGGACTGACGATACCGACCACGCCATGCTGCTCCTGCTCTCTTGCTTGCACACGGACCTCAAAACTCTCGACCCAACGGACTTTGCTGCCAGGCTGCACGTCTGGGCGCAGTTTGGCTTTCTGCCCCTTGATACCCTGCCGCTGGGGCTGGGACGCACGGTGGGCGCCATTGTGAGGACCAAGACATATCTCGACGACCCGGAGGCGACGGCCCGGCGGCATTGGACCAACTGCCAGTACAACGTGGCCCCAAATGGCAGTCTTATGAGGACGCATCCGCTGGGATTAGTGTGTCTCGACAAGAGCCTGGACGAGACGTTTGAACTGGCAGCCGCATTTTCGGTCGTGACGCACGTCGACCCTCGATGTGTGGTCTCGTGCGCCATTGGGACGGCACTCGTCCGCGGGCTGGTGTTGCACGAGGTTCACACGGAGGTACATATCGATTCCATAATCGACACGGCCATCCACTGGTATGCAAAGTACCAGGCTCAAGCGTTGCAAGAGCACCCGGAAAGGCGAGACGAGCCAGGCTTGGACGTTTCAGAGCTGCGCCGGCATGCCACGGTAGAGAGCCTCGACGATTTAGAGCTGGACGACCGCTACAAGATGGGCTACGTATACAAGACGTTGGGCGCAGGCTTGCACCTCCTCCGTCTCGCCATGCGTGATACCGCGAACGGCATGCTCAAATCACGGGCACTGGCGTTCGAGCCGCTGATCACGGACCTGATCATGCTAGGCGGCGACGCCGACACCAATGCCTGCTTTGCGGGGGCGCTGCTGGGGGCCTATTTGGGCTACGCCAATCTGCCGCTCAACTGGCGCCATGGGCTGCGGCACGGCCCGTGGTTGCTGAGCAAGGCCGAGGGCCTGAGCCAGATATTGGGCGTGGCAGATGGCGAGTATGTCGGGTCAGCAGATCAGGAGACAGCGCGGGACGGCGGGCGAGGTGGGATGCCTTCAGAAGCTGATATGGAGCGGAAGGTTATGGTGCTGCAGGCGTGGATGGCGGAGCAAGAGCAAGAGGCCAAGCGGAGGGCCACCAAACTGGAGGATAAGCATTGGTTCAAGTGGAGGCATCAGCCATGAGCATGCACACCAATATGGACATATAGTCGCAGGCTTTTCGTTTGTTAATAATAGGAGCAACACTGCTAAGTAGTTCCGCAACTTTCGTTCGATAGTCAGTTTAATTCAATTTTACCCCTCGTAAGGAGACGCTTAGTGCTTTACACTACTACATAATTAAGCTACTTTCTTGTTATAGACTAGAGTGCACCTTATCTTGGGCCCAACCTTGCTTGACCGCGGGTGCAATGTCTACACATCCGTCTCCACAGGACTGCCACCCGCTCTTGGTGTCCATAACAGCCTGTAAGGCTTTTGCCCCTTGATAATGTGCCGTTACCTCCTGTTCTGTCAACCGTAATCGATTCACCATGCATATACAAAGGAGTTGAATAACCATCGGGATCCTGGTAGTGAAGGAGCCCATTGGTAACTATAGCTACAGAGTTTGTGATTTGGCTCAACCTAGGTTCAAAAAAAAAAAAAAAAAAAGAAAGAAAAGGGGTGGATAGATAGCGTGACGGCTCCTTACAGAATTGCTATAGAGCCACCAAGATAGACCAATGACATATCATATATTTGGCTACGCGCACTGCGACACCAGTACTGTCCACCACTTTTGTTATAGCATAGAGCACCATCAGCAATCGTCTCGTTTTTGAACCCAAGAGTCATCAAGAGCAATGTTATGCTGGCCGCCAGGGCAGCAAGGGTTAGGGTAAACAGGGCAACAAATTGAACCAGCCATACTGTAGGGGGCCGTGAATTGGTGGGTGAGTAATGGCAACACTGATAGTATCTGTGCACCAGCCTTGGGAAGCGCCCCAATCCAGTTAGCCTTCCGGTCCCTCATTCACATCAGGACCACCCTTTATGGTTGTTGTCAGATATGAGTAGAACGGTAATAGATGTACACAGAACTCGTTGACAATGGCAAAGGGCACCAGGCCGGGGACAGGCTTGGAGACCCGAATGGCCGTTGCGCCACCAAGCAAGATGAAGGGCGAAAGCCAGCGCAGCATCCCCCAGCAGCTAACCAAAGTGTAGTAATCAGCTATGGAGAATTTATGAGCAGGTACACCTTCAGATTCAGGCTCCCCGGGGACGGTTAACTCGAGCCTCTCTGGGGCAGCAGTTGCAGACATTCCCTGGTGTGTACTGAGCTGCGGTAGCTGTCACGAGTAATGCCTTCTACTATAGCCCCAGATTCCTCCCATTAGGTGTCGTTTTGAGCATCTCAATCGGCTGTGAACTACATCAGGTGCGGTAAACCGTTTTCAGATAAAGTGTGTGTTTGTCCGTCTCACGTTCTATGGTCTCACCACTGGAACGCGATGGGCGAGACATATTATGTTACTTATCTCAAAGAGGATACGAGACAACAATCCATTCAACCCCTCTGAAATTAAGATCAGCATTTGGGATTTCCGTCATCGGGGCTAGTACCCCCCAATGCCTTAAAATTGGGTTTAACAAATTAGTCTCCGCGTCCCAAAAATAAAATCCACCGAGAATCGCCATGGGGGGAGTGTTCGTTCGCTCAACAAACCACAGTACGCACCCCTTTATTTGACGAGGGAGAAGTGAGCATGCCCATAGCCCCCTGCGATTAAACGTAGCACAGTCGACACTTCCTTTTTCAATTTTTTTTTTTTTCAATTTTCTCTACAGTGTGATAGCGATATTTGTTATTCAACCCCGATAGGGACAGTTCCGAAGCAAAGCGGTCATTCTATTTACGAAGGTTGGAGTCCCCTTCGTATATGCGGAAACCAAACCAGCCCTAGTCCGAATACGAGTGGGTTTGTCCTGTAATTCGCGCCTCCTTCCCCATAGCCAAACTGGACCCGAAAAGCTTTGCTTCTTCCCAAGCATATCTTGTCTACTTCGAGAAGCTTGACTTTCACCCGGGTTAGCCATTCTAGGTGGCAATACGCGCTGTCGTGGTCGTAATTGGTCAGTACAAATTGCTGGATTGCGATCGATGGGGCTGGAAACGCAAGACGATCAATCTTAACTCAATCGACCTGTCCCAGGAGACGATGAATGGCAGTGTCGAGCGGCATCCATCGCGAAACTTGCATACACGGACTGAGATCAGCGCCCAGCCGAACAGAGCCCATGGCGATCATGCACTGAATAGTTTGCCTGGTTCGTATTCACTCCCATTTCTACGTCGCATTGGTCATAAATAGATCCGTCGAAGGGCTTGACAAAACAGCCAGCTCCACAGTGCACGGTGGTGCACCTTCAATAGAATATAAATGAGATTCCTTCGATCAAAACCAGAACTCCATTTATCCTTTCACCATTCTTTTCCATTCATAGCATTGCGTCGGACTCGTACAGAAAGATGAAGTACTCTCTACTCTTCGCCATCGCGACATCGGCGGTGGCAGTGATGGCTCGTTGCGACGGCTCGTCACAGCCTGGGTGGGTGCAGCATGGCTTCTGCGACAACGGCGAACCATGCCACGAGCGTTGCAGAGCTGCTGGTTTCGAGTGTGGTGGCTGCGGTGGCGCATTTTGGAATCAGTGCTGGTGCTGCAACAACTCTTGTTAGCGACATCGCCGTGAGGCGCTCAAGCGAAAGACGCGTTGTGGCGGCCTTAGGAGGAAGCGTAAGTCAGTCTTGTTGGAATCTTCGTCGTCTTCCTCATGAGACTAATGACCTCCACCAAAAGGATCAAAGTGAGAAAAGATAGGCGAGGTTCACGTCGAAATCATGGCTCGTGTTGCAGCTATCTGAATGGCTCGGATCAGTCTGTTGTGTAGCTCTTCAGAAGGCTAGCACAGGAGGCGGCCCCGGCAGCCGCGATACAGCACTGGAAGATATAGTGACGAACGAAGAGTTCGCAGGGAGGGTTCTTGAAAGAATGGTGGCCTATTTCCCGAAAGTAGCTACTGGCATGTAATAATCACTACGCTGCAATGGATAGGCTTATTATGCGTTGCGTCGACGGAATGAAGTGGGTGTTTATGACCAGCTCTGGAGCGGATGCACTCTACATGGGTTAGCGAAATGCAATCATACTATCCCTACGGAAGCTCACTTGGTCGAAGCCCGGCTGGCACACGGTGTAGAGCTGGATTACCACGGTTTCATAGGCAGAGACAAGTTTTAAATGCGATCAGTTCACCGCTGGGCCCGCCCCGAGTTGTGTTCGTTGTGATTGTTCAAGGGATGCCCGCTGCACTAAAAGCCTGATCAACGATGTATTGCGCTAAGCTAGATCGAGTATACAGTGGGTACGGCTTTCCATAGGCACTAGCCGGATTAGGTTGGCCTTGTCTACCGCCCAGTAAAGGATAACAAGTCACCTCAATTGAAAATCGGTCCCAACTTGCTCCGTACTTCACTTTCTATTTTTCTAATGTTTTTTCTCCCTTTCGGTGATTCTGTCCTCTCATGTACTAATGACTTAAACTCTATATATGAAACACGCTGAATATATAATACTAATGACGGAATTAGCTGTGGAGAGGGCCACGCTCAGAATGCGTTAGTGTCGATCTGAATATATAGTTTGCTTCAGCAGAAGCTACTCGTCAAGAAACCGAGCACTCTACCCGTGCAAGGCGATGAACGATCAATCATATACTTTCGGATGCTTTACATTATAGGGCATATCAAATTCTACTCTACATTTCCAATAGTGGACATTATTTCGTCGCGTATCAACTCGCACGGTACGCATTGTGTCAACGCTGTCAACCCTCGGATCAGAAAAATGTAGAGGCATCCATACCGGAAAAAAGATCATCCCACTGGAAACCATCAAGATCTACTAGCTCCTCGAGACTCTGGGCCAGCTGATTGCCGTATGACGGCTGACCGGTTGTGGGAGGCATTTGGTCAGGAACAGCAACCGTCGGACCGCTTTTGTTCGTATCAACAGGGTTCGGAGTTCCCGCGAGTGATAGTGTATCGGGCCTCTGGTACATTTGCGCGGTCGTGACACCCATGACCGGATTTGTACTGGTGGCAGCAGTAGTAGAGGCTCCCCCCAGCTGCAGCGGATCAGATACCCGTGAGATCTGCTGCTGGGCGCGATGCTTTGCCAAGACCTGTGTTAGTGACTCGAGCAGGTTCGCGGCAGCTAGCGAGTGGCTTCTTGCATCCTCCAGTATGCGTAGGGCCTCAGCGACCTCCCCATAGCGGATTTCATCCTGCAGTGAGCCGGTTCCGTTGACGCACGCGTCCATCAGGAGTACAATGCTCGCCATGAAGACGCCATACAGAATGGCGGATAAGCGCAGTCGGATCTGCACGAAGGAATGCTGGGCACGCTCGAGCTGTGCTTCAGCGCGGATGAGCTGTCGCGCGGACTTGAGACATGTCTCTCGTGAGGAGGTGTAGGCGGGGTTGTTGTTCGGTCCGGATGTCAGATATGTGAGGTGCAATTTACAGCGCTGGGTGTGGATCACCGAGTTGAGTAAGTAGGCTTGAATGAATATGCCGCGTGTTGTGGAGTCGGCACTGCACTCGTAGGTATCGAGATGGAAGAAAGATGGGATGTCGTGGATCATCTGATCGAGCTCAAAATCCATGGCTGTGACATGAGCGTAGTAACTCGCCCCGCCTGCGCTCGTCACAGCCATAGGGGTGTGGTCGACAATGCTACGCGAAATCTCGGCAAGGCGAAGCCGTTGGAGGAAGTACGACATCTCGGTCGGTTGGGAGATGGGTAAGTCTAGGTGCAGTCCGGCGTCAAGCAAGTCCACGTCATTGATGTTGCGCGGCTTTTTCACTATCATTTGACGCGGGTTGGCCTGGTACACGCCCTCGCCTGGACCGCCATACCTCGCGGCCAACAGCCTGGCTTAAATCATCAGTATTCCCTGCTCGCCTTGAGAACGGGTTGACCGAAGACATACCAGTCGGTCGCTATCAAGTACCACCACACCCGGCGACCCATCTCGGCTTGAATAGTATGCGCAGAGACCGCATTGGACTCATGGTCGATGCGGTGGAGGCCCAGCTCGCGGCTTAATAAGAGCCTGTCGAGATGAGGGATCGATAGCGCAGTGAGACGCCCTCCAGGTTGCAGACGATGAAAGAGAGAATGATGATTCCCTGGATGGTCTCAAGCATAAGTGCTGGATAGTTCTGACCGGCGTTGAGCACATCGTATGTCGCCTTGATCCAGAAGGACGTTTGTGCATTGGCCTCGGCTGAGGACGAGAAGAGAGAGCCTTCATCATCGGTATTATCATGAGATGTCCAGACGTGCGTTGCACTGGCGACAATGCTGAGCAGAAGGACAAGATGGCCAGGCTTTACAGGCGCTTGGTCGCTAATACGACGGTAGATGGTATCGATAATGGCCGGCAGTGAGGGATGGTGTACCACGTGGTGGATGTAGCTTACATTGGTGACAAACTTGTCTAGAAGTACCCTGGCCTCCTCATGCCGCGGCAGCCAGACGCAGCGTGTTAGCTTGCCCAGTTGCACCGTGTAACTGGGTGCGCGAGGGATCGTCCTGATGCGCTCGACCTTAAACACTAGATCATCGCCGTATACCGGTTCCTGTGCATTTTAATAAGCGGGCTGTAATTCGAAGAGGCATATCGAGAACCTTTCGTATACCTGGGAGTTCTGCACCATGGACACATGCTCGAGATGTGCCACTACCTGGCTGACCTGTCCGAGACCGGACGTGGGAGCCACACCCATGTCCACGCGAGACGATTCGGGGCTGGTAGGTGGAGGCAACAGGGAGTAGTCACCGCCATCATTCTCGGGTTGGCGGCCAGTGCTCTGGACGACCCGTTTCTCCAAGTCGTGGGCTAGCTTCCTTAATGCCTGTATCTCGGCTAGTAATCCCTGGTCTGGGCCAGACGGCCGGGGTGAGGGCAGTTGAGGAGAAGGGGGAGTGGGATTTGAGACTATTTGCTGCTGGTGTTGAGCAGGAACTGCAGGTGAGATGACCGTGCGAGGCGCTCGAGTATGTTGACCAGCAGAAGGCCCGAAATGGCATGTCTTCCCTCGCGACACGCAGTTCGTGCACGGCAGCGGTCTATCACACCGAAGCTTACGTGCTCGGCAAAAGTCGCAGGAGTAATGACCCTTACGATGGGAGCGCGTGCCCTCAGGCATGGCGGAGATGGAAGGAGGTGAAAATATCCGTGGGTATTCCGTGGAATGTTGCAGTCCTTTGTTGTATTTCATATGTGGTCATCTTCCGTCCCCGCGGCTGACCTCCGCGGAACTTCCGTGGAGGGGGGGCGACCGCCACTTATACTTACACGGCAAGTCTACAACCCTACATGGGACAAGACTATTGTTAACGACCAAAGTAAGCTTACTCTCCCCCATTAATAATACTAGTTCGATATTGGGAGTATTTGAGCAAGATGGAGGTCCCCTGTCTTGCGGGGTCCGTTCCCACGCAATTCTATCCTAGCTGCTTCCCAAAATGGAGCAGCCATTCTCCGCTTCGGTGGCCGCCATATTGTTGTTTGCTGCGGCATTCATCTACACAGTAGGAGGGCTGATATACCGGTTGTACTTCAGCCCTATAGCACATTTTCCAGGTCCCAAGATCGCTGCTGCTACACATTTGTAAGTACAAAGGTATGTAAGCTCCGCGACAGGCGTTAACCATCGTGATACAAGGTACGGGTTCTACTACGATGCGATCCGAGGAGGACAGTATGTGTGGAAGGTGGCACAGATGCATCAGAAATATGTGTGTCGTCTTGGCCATATCATGCACGGACAAGGTCAAGACTGACATGTGGCAACAGGGACCAGTGGTGCGGATCAACCCCAATGAGATTCACATCTCAGACCCAGATTATTATGCTGTGCTCTACGCGAGTGCCAAGAGCGTCGCGATAAAGTACTTCAGCATACCCGACAGTTTGGGGCCCCAGACTCCGTGTTAGCAGCTGTGCATCATGATCTCCATCGGATGAGAAGGGCCATTCTCAGCCCGTTCTTCTCGAAAGCCAGCGTCTACCGACTTGAACCTGTGATTCAGGACAAGATCGATGAGATGTTGGAACGTGTGGAAGGATTTCGACTCTCTCAACAGCCGATTCCGTTATTTGAGATGTTCGCTGCCTTAACGAATGGTAATCTCTGAGGCAGGCACTTCATGAGAGACCCCAGACACTAATGCCACACAGATGTTGTCATGGAGTATGCTTTCGCCAGGAGCGACCGGCGCTTGGCGCAGCCCGATTTCGATCCTGTTTTCCTAAATGCCCTTACCTCGGCCAGTGACATCAGCCACTGGGTGCTGCATTTGAACTGGATTCTCGGACTGTTCCAATCGATTCCAGTTTGGTTGGCTCGATTGTTCAATCCAGGGTTTGTATCCCATCGAACTCACACCACCTGGCTCGTTGGATAACTTTATATCTGTACTAGAATTGGCAAGGTCCTCGATTTCCAAGAGGTGAATCTCCCCAACCGTCTAGCAGCCTCACAGTTAACTCTAGTTACAGAGAGTGAAAGACCAGATCCGTGACATCCAAAACGGCACGAACCGATCGAACGAGAAGAGCTCGCACCGCACCATCTTCCACGATGTGCTTGACTCAGGCATGCCCGCATCTGAAAAGAAGCTCGAGCGCATGTGGCAAGAGGGCATGGTAGTAGTGGGAGCCGGCACCGACACAACAGCTTGGACCCTCGTTGTCGTGCTCGTCCACATCATCATCAACGCCGATATCCGCCAGCGGCTCGAAGATGAGGTGCGGACCGCCATAGCTACCAAGGGCCAGCTCAAGCTCAGCGACCTGGAGCAGCTCCCCTACCTCTCTGCATGTATCAAGGAGGCGCTACGGCTCTCGTATGGCCTATCCGCACGGCTACCCCGCGTAGCTCCTACTCAAGTACTCGAAGTACCCGGGACGACCGGGCTGGCGATTCCGCCCGGAACGAAAGTGTCGATGAATTCGGTTCTGATGCACCGCCACCCGCAACTATTCCCACAACCAGATGAGTTCCGCCCCGAGCGGTGGCTCGACAACCCTCGGTTAGATCGCTATCTGGTCCCTTTCTCCAAAGGCGCTCGCCAATGTCTGGGCATCAACCTTGCCTATGCAGAAGTGTACATGGCGCTGGGTGCCATAGTCGGTCGCTTTTCTGTCACGGATGGGGGTCCTCGGCTGCAGCTCGTAGACAATGAAGCCAGTCTGAGGAGTATTGAGATTGCTGGCGACATGTTCCTCCCGTCTACCAAGTCTGGGAACAAACATATCGAGGCTGTATTTAGGTAGAGCAAACCTGTTGTACGAAGCTGGGTGGTTTCTCAGGATGCGTACCACCACGAGGGAGATGTGTACTGTACTCGTGCTAGATGTGATTAAACCATTTGGTTATATATACATTCGGTTAAGAATGGCATTCACCTTGTGTAATCATTATATAGATAAAGCATCTAAACTGATATTTACTCTCTTGCACTTGATACGAAATGGAATTTATGTACGCAGTTTGTGATACACACTAGAGACACAGGTACAAAAACCTATACAAAGGTGATGGCATATCTATGCCCCTACTATCGACTTATGAATGGAGAATAAATAGGATAATGACGGCGACTGCATCTATGAGGGACCAGGGTGAGTCGCTAGAGAAGACACAGAGGGTCCAAAAAGTCAACGTAGAAGAGAATTACATTATTCACACTTTTAACAGCACTACTATACTTAATCTACTAGCTATTACTAAAAAGGCATAAGAAGCAGACCAGAAGACCCGCAACAATGACAGCCAATCTCAGAGATGACTTCCACCTAGGCAAGACAGCCTGAGACATCACCGCGACTCAGAAATCTACTTTAAAGAGGCTACTCTCGCGAATGCGCTCACCATAGAGATAAAAGATGACCGGAACAGGAATGAAGGCCACGGCAATAAACCCCAGGACGGATGTTCCCCAGCCCACGCCTAGCGCGCTGTACATGGCGCCACCAGCGAGTGGGAGAAGGGCTCCGAACAAACAACGGAAGATCGTGTTGGACGCGGTCACCGAGGCTGCGTAGACGGTATACGCGTCGACGAGGTACATCACGCTGGCCATCTGAACGAGGGTGTGTCAACGGCACAAGCCTGTCAGATATCAAGGGTACAAGAAAGATAAAAGACTACTTACGTATGTTATGATCATGCCCCCGCCGAGGAAGCCGGTTCCAATAATCGGCACGATCCAGTGAGTTTTGTTCTCGCTGTCCAGCCGTACCAGAATAGCCCGATTGGGACACAGATCCCCCCGACGGTCATGGTGGGAAGCCGGTACTCCGGCTTGGCTTCGCCTCCGTTCTTGAGTGTGAGGTAGTTGGAGAGCTTGTCGGATGCGGCACCGCAGAAGATGACCCCCACGAGGGAGCCGACTCCGAGCCCTAAGGTAGCCAGGCCAGATGCCCCACTGCCGAAGCCATACTGGCCACCAAAGATAAGAGGGAAGGTGGTGAAGCACAGATATAGGTAGCTATAGACAACAGCAGCGTATAGTGACAGCAAAAGGACAATCGGAGACATGAGCATCTTAAGGGGGCGCCAGATGGAGAATGCAAAGAGCTGGCCTGGCGTTTTACCGGTGTCCAGTGCCGATCGTAAATCTAGGTTCCCGGTCTCCTTGCGCAGTCGCTCCGTCTTGCGCTTCAGTAGGACGTAGGGGTACGACTCGCGGAGAAAGAGGAACACGATCACCGTCATGACGCCAGAGGCGATGGCCATTAGCCAGAAGTTCCAGCGCCACCCTGCTGCAGGAGTTAGATAGCCACCGCAGATAGGCCCAATAGATGGCCCAAAGACAGCACCGATGACATAGGCTGCCATGGCGCCTGCTCGCTTCTCGCGCGGAATCATGTCGGCGATGGAGCCGGTGCCTAACGTGATGGGACACGACCCCACGATGCCAGCGAGCAGTCGGAAGACAATCAATGATCCCAAGCTGTTGGCAACGGCACAGGCCACGTTGAAAATGATGAATAGCACCATGCAGACCTGGTATAGGATAACCCGTCCGTACAGCTCCGACAGCGGCGCAATCGCGATCGGTCCGAAGGTGTAACCCAGCAGGAAGATGGTGGTTACGAATGCCTCGAGCGACTCGTTCTGGGCGTGGAAGTGGGCCATGATATCTGACGCTGCGGCAGAGCTGATAGTTGAGCCGATGGGCCTGCATAAAAGAAGGGTTAGCAAGCTCTCTGAATGAACTGAAGACAAGTATGTACTGACGAGAGCATTGTCATCATCGAGACGATAGCAATTGCTACCGTTTTCTTCGCAGTCGACCAGTTCATCGGATTTTCGGGGTCGTCAGGACCGTCAAAGTCGACCACGTTGGGGTCTTTCTCCTCCTTGGCCGAGTGGTCCTCACCGGATGAACGCTCGATATCGTTGAGCTCAGTTTGGGGCTTGGTACCCATGGCACTTGATTTTTCCGTGTCAGCCATGGTGAACTGGCTGACGTGCTCTGCTGTCGGCGCAAGAGAGAACAACGGTTCGGAGTCCAGAACACTTTCTACAATCACTTCGAATGTTCTGACGAGCGATTGCAACCGTCCGTGATTGTGGTAGGGCTGAAAGCTGATGTTCGAATTAACCCTAAATAGGATACTCCCAGCGTGCCTGCCGCAAACGCAACTGGGATTTGATGCAAAGGACGGACAGGTAAACAAACATATAAGAGAGCCCTTTGAGATAATTCTATAGCAACTGAAAATATACAGCTGGCTGCTCCGCGGAGAGATTGTTGCTAAGAGCCAATTGAATGTGTTCACTCCGCGGAAATTCCGCGGAAGGGTATGAGGCTATCTTAAAGGCATGTTCTTCTGTCTTCCGCGGAAAGTTGGAAACTTGTTATCACGCGAGAGCTCCTTTGCAGCTTGCTGAGGGAATCTTGATCTCTCACAAGGGAAAAAGTGATCATATAGCAAGGATAAGGTAGGAGAGCTTCCACATGATATGCCTCTAGTGACCGTTGTGATGTGGTTATCTGATCCGTCCATCTGATTAGATTGATCTGATAATAATATCGCCCTCGGAAAGTGCAAGCGGTTATCTGGGCCAGTCACCATTGATTTCGCTATACTAAACTTCCCCAAAGACCTCTCCACATCTCATCACACAGATTCCCCCTCTACCCAACCTTGCCGTTCTTCACAATGCCGTCGGACAACGCCAAGTTGATCGGAAAAGCACTCGGATTCTTCATTCCTCACCTCGGCCGAGTCGCGATCCAACGTGTGGCCGCTGTTCGTCACAACTGGACCTGGCAGGACACCCCCGACGCGAAGAACGTCGTAGTCCTGGGAGGCTCGTTCGCCGGAATCGAGTTGGTCAACCGGTTGGCTGAAACGCTCCCGACGGGGTTCAAGGCTGTGTGGATCGAGAAGAACTCGCACCTTAATTACTCGTTCAACTTCCCTCGTTTCTCTGTCTTGACGGGGCACGAGCACACGGCTTTTATCCCTTACGATGGTGTAGCACGGGGTGCACCGACTGGCATCTTCACGCGCATCCAAGACACGGCTGTCGGGCTCACAGAGAACCAGGTGCTTCTCGCATCGGGAGAAAGGATCGACTATGCGTACCTTGCCATCGCAACGGGATCATCCCAGCCACTTCCTGTCCAGGTGGTAGCCACGGAGCGTAATGACGGCTGTCATGAGCTACAGGGTGTGCAAAGTACAATCAAGGCGAGCCAGAAGATCGCTATTGTCGGCGGGGGGGCTGTAGGCGTTGAGCTCGCCAGTGACATTAAGGACTTCTATCCGGACAAAGACGTGACATTGATTCATTCTCGTGGTCAGCTCATGAGTCATTTTGGGACGCGACTGCAGGACTACACACTCAGTGCGCTGCGGGATGAGCTCAAGGTTCGCGTTCTACTAAACGAACGTCCTGAGATGCCAGCTGCCGGGAACATGGCTCAGTCGGCGACGCTGACCTTCTCGGACGGGCGTGAAGAACAGTTTGACCTCATCGTGAGTAATATCTTTGCTCATGTGCATGCGGTGTTCTAACAGTACCATTAGATTGGTTGCACCGGCCAGCGCCCCAACTCATCTATCTTGTCCTCTCTGCTCCCCGACGCGATCTCCAAAGAGACATCCCGCATCCTGGTTCGACCGACCCTGCAGGTGTTCGCATCGAATCATAATATACCCATGTTTGCCTTCGGTGATGTGGCCGACCACGGCGGTCCTCACATGGCAAGGGCGGGCTGGATGCAGGCCGGAGTAGTGTTAGATAACATTCTAGCAATGATCAACGGACAGACGCCATCGCGGTTATATACACCCAACCTCTTTATTGAGGGGGCCATCAAGCTGACTCTCGGAAAGACGCATAATGTCGTTTATGCCACAGAGGCGGACGGCTCTGACGTGATGGTCCCCTCCAGAGACGGAAAACTGGACCTGGGAATCGAGCGAGCGTGGAAGGAATTTGGGGCCAATTTTAAGCTTGCCAATACAGCCACGGAGTCTGTGGGACAGCCCGTGAGCGGTGCTGGAGAAGTCCAGTGAGCGCCATAACGCCTAGGGTTTCCAGATTGTTGCAATGCACATTTTATAGAAAGATATCCCATTAATAGAAATCATGCTTAACTCCCTTCAATAGGTGCAAGTGCGTTCAAATATCTGCCTGCAGCTACACTGTTCACTCACTCACTCCTCCAAAATCCATTCCATCAGAGCAGCACAGTTTCCAACAGTCTGGATGCATCCCTTCAGGGCGAACCTAGGGTCCGCCTTCTTGAACAAAGTGACCCACTCCTCTCTCGTTCTCTCGAAGCCATTTACTACCGCTAAGACCTGGAAGTCAATTCCAATATTAAGCCTGGTGATAACTCCAGTGGGTCCAAGACCAGCCTCATACGACCCCTCCTTACTGTTGATTGCCCTTCCATTAATGACGGCATCCTCCGCTGGAGGGTCACCACCGTCCATCACAATGTCGCGAGTCAGAAGGCGGCTCTTATTCGGGTCCATGGCCTCGACGCAGCGCCGCAGGATGGTGATGGCCTTGTCGTCGGGCTCCTTGTGCAGCACGGTGCTCATAAAGTAGACGTCGGCGCCCTTGACTGGTTGCTCGGCGTACTTGTCGTGTGGCATGTAGCTCACGCGACCATTGAGCTCAGCAGGGAGCTGCTCGTAGAACTGCTTCTCATACCACGGCTGGTTCCTCTCCTGCACAATGAAGGTGAGGTCAGGATTTGCCAACGCGACCGTGGAGGCCAGATGGCCTGTTATGCCACCGATCTAAATACAAACAACAATCAGCCGTGTATGTACCACCATGACGACAATATCAGAAACTTACATCGACCACAGTTGCTTTACCAAGCCCACCCCAGTCAAACGCGCGAAGCAAGTTCGTGCCCTTGATGGCGCCACCGGTCCCGAAGAACTTGTCTGTATCATACAGCCTCCAAAGACGGAAACCCTTCCCTTTGACACCATTCCACTCGCCCTGGTCATCCTCCTCCATTATTTCGTAAAACAGCTTCTCCTCGCCCGGCTTGGCATTGAGATTTGGCCCAGTGTGCTTGGGATCAATGCTATCCCCCCACTTCATGGTCGCGTCGACCAGCTTGTTCGAGTACCATGGCTGGACCTCTTCGATGTTATGGAGAATCCACGCCAGAGCCAAGGGATCGCCAATCGCCATAGCCGAGTTGCTCGTGTGCGCTACAAAGCCCGGCTTGGGCGTGCAGAAATAGTGCTGCGTGTAGGCCATGCTCATGATACGACGCAGTCGGTGCTCCGCAAGACCTACTTTCTTCGACAGCTCCGCATATGAAATGGGTTCATCTCGAGGCACCGCGTCGAAGATATTGTAGCGGGCCAAGAAGTGAAGGGTCATATCGTCGAATTTGTTCTGTTATATTGTTAGCGGACGGAGTATCATTAAGCTGGCCACGGCTTAACTCACGTTCATACAATGCCACCTAAGATTATCAGCAGCGCCAATGGCGAGGTTCGAGAGGGCCATGGCCTTCTCGATCAGTAGGAGCCTGGCGCGCTGCACATTGGCGTCCAGTGGTAGTTCCCTCGGGCTGTCTGGCGCGAATGTGGGCTGCGGGAGGTTATGTTCGGTCAGGTAGGTATCTATGACCTTAACCTGGGACTGGATGTCCGATGCTAGCTCTGCAAGTGTCACCATGGTGGCTGTTTAATGTGAGATGAAGTATTTCTATTTCGACTTGTAGAGTTGAATATATTCCTATCGCAACTGTGCATCTAGGTACTGGAACAGTACTTCGAATTGTTATAGATCTCAATAGCCCTCTTATAACATCTCAGATCACTTGGCATTAGTAAATTTCACAAATGCTTGGTGACGGACGGATGCAGGGGACGGCGACCTCCCCGAAATCTCCCCGCCAGAAGTAAAGGGTGGCTATCTCCGAATGGTCTTAACATATGCAGGCTGATCCGAGAAGATTTAGCAGTGGAACATTGTGTATTAAAAACAGATCATAGCGGCGCGCGGCCTTGGTAGATGTGGGCTTTTCTATGTAACTGGTCGGGTGGAGTTTAGGTATGTGAGAATAAATTGCACCATTGCTGGATGAAGCTTGAACGCCTAGGAGAAACAGGCTTACCACTTCACTATGGTTCTGTAAGCCTTTGTCGTGCCTAGCACCTAATTCTACAAACCTGGACAAGCTATCAATCCGCAATATTACTCAAATTGAAATAAACATAGGGAAGAAGGTTGTGGTATATTTGTAATCTGAGCATAGAGACGAGTGTTTATATGTATTGTATCTAACACTGTTCATGATACCCTGCTTATATGATATCTAGTTGAACAGGAGCTCGTCCAACCTGATTGAGTTACCACTTAAACTGTGATTCCAGTCACCAAGGGATTGGAGTCCCATCAACATTGACAAATGTGCCAGAGGTCGTTGTCAGTGTGGCACCATCGACCTTGTGAACGGTTAGATTACGACAAGTTCGAACATGATAAAACCAAATATGGACAAGATATACATACAAGTGACAGCAGGCTCGATACACACTGATCCACCGAGAGGCCGTCAATAGGCACCCCAAGTTTCGCCGCAGCGGCAGTGCGATTCTCCGTGACAACGGAACCAGGATGCACAGCAAATGCAATTAAGTTGGGATGTTCAATTGCAAGTCTGAGGATGAAGAAATTGGCCAGCATCTTGGAAGCGGCATACGAATTGAGCGGGAAGTGAGCAAATGTCTTCATGCCAGCCATGGTTGCTGCGCCGGCCGAGTTGAGCAGAAATATGGGTTGCTTGGACTTTTCAAGCAGTGGCCAGGTAGCCTGGAAGAGGCGGATGACCCCGTAGGCATTGACATCGATATGCTCCTGAAGGTCGGTGAGCTTCATGTCGACCACCTTTTGATGGGCGGATGGATCGAAAATGCCGGCGTTGGCAATTACAATGTCTAATCGATCGATTCCATGTTCTGCGGCTAAGATCCTGATAGTGTCGCTTGCGTCCGTTTGGGATGTTGCATCGATTTTAACAACGATGGCTTTGCTGCTAGGCGCACAATCGAACTGGGAGATGTTGTCGGCTTCGCTAGAGGACGGTGCTCTCACTGCTGCGACGACGGTGGTGTTGGGGCGTTGGAGATAGTGTTTCACGAATCCCTTTCCGATACCTTCATGAAACATCAGTGCTTGAGTATAACTTACATAGTATAGGGATCTATTACTGACCCTTAGTAGCACCCGTAACAAGAACAACAGTAGCCATATTCAATTCAACTATACAGCTTGAGTTTCTCTCTTGGTGGAAAATATCGTCTCTATTTCACTCTATCAATGCGTTTAGCTTTTCGAGTTTTCTTGTATACCTTGATCAAGGACAGTGTTGGTGACATACGCCTGGGAAAGATGGGCATGCAGCTTACTCCGGCCCTGAGACGTGCTTGCATGTAAGCACCGACACTGCCAGGGTTCTGCTTATCTCCCCGAATCTCCCCGGGCCTTAAGGGCCTAACGAAACCCAGCATTGTGTTAACCCTTGAGGAAAGAGAAGAGGTCATGCTTGGGATGGATCTATTGGGTTTTCCGGGTTGCCATCAGTCACTTGTCTTATCCCCACAGCCGCACATTGATACATGGCATACTCTATCGCTAAGATTTAATTTACATCAAAGTGTTTATCAGTCAGGGTATCCGCCATTTGATTCTTCTTACTCAATTCCGGAGTCATGACAAAGATGTTGCCTTCTTGGCCACGGAGGATTCCAGGGCTGTGCCAGCTTCACTTGTACAGTTGCTGGTAGGTTTCCCTGTATTTAGGTCCCACAAGCGAGTACAGACTAGCGCTTCAGCAAATCGTGCTCCGACATATAGGCCTTTCCTGTTTGATTCATACACCGATTGAAAGCCATTGGCGTGGACCGTGTGGTCTATGTACAGTCACTAGAAACCTCGTGCCATGGGAACCGTGATGAGAGAGTATCGCGCAAGACACGATGGACTGGGTCAGTGTCTCTAGCCAGCTGTAACGCTCACGAGAGCCGCCTCTGCTTTGGGTATGGTTTATTCCAGGCCCAACCGAGCGAATCAAGACCAAGCCTTGTTGTAACTGGGGCCCAACGCGTAAGCTATCCTCCACAAGGCCAGTGGACAATGCGAGTCGCAAACCGTTGCTCTTTCAAAGCAACGTACCGCCTCGGTTGGATCTTTATCAGATCCTCATATAATATCTATCGTTTGTCCTTCTAGTTATGTCGTCATGTTTATGTTTCGCTAATTGATTAATGTCTCTCGTAGTTTTATCAAGCACCAGCCATACATCCAGACTAGACGTTGGGTGAGTGCTCAGCTAAACGGTCATCCAACATGGCCAGATGAGGATCCTGCCAAAGCTCAGGCAGGAAGCTGAGCTGCATCCCCCACGAGTACAATTGAGGGTTCGGGGACCCGTTCGAACCCGAAGCCGGTGTTACTGTACCTGTATCCAATGCGTCGTCATTGTTCTTAGTTGCAGCCAAGGCTCTGGCAGGGCGTTCTAGATCGGTGCTTTGTGAAGCAGTAGCATTGTTGATAGCCCGAAGAGCAACTTGGTAATATAGCCGACTGATGTGGTAAGGAACGGCACTTTCGTAGTTTGGATCATGCTTTTCAAAAAACCTAATTACCGTGCCTAGAAGATTTAAATCTTCACGGGCCTGCGGGGTAGTTTTGTTTTCCAAGATGTTGATAAGTAGGATATCGACGGTCCATGCGATGTGATATAGCAGGTATCTGGCAAGGCTGTTAGTATTTCTCTGATTGTTGTTATTTTGTGCAGGATTGTGGCCACTAACATAGTGAACGGGTGGCCATGGTCATGATAGTTCAGTAAGGAGATCGAGGCCCGCGCAGCACTAACGCACAATGCCACACTAGAGATGACCAAGTCACTGTCTTCGTATTGATGCCAAAGAGGGACAGCTTTACTAAATACCACGGAGTGAATAGATATAAGAAGTTGAAAGTAGCAGAAATGGAGTACTGTTAGGGACATTAGCCGCATGTTGTCTAAGCCGCCTAAAGGAGTTTGTGGCCGAGCCATGTCAGGGATTTTCTGCCTCCAACTTTGCAACTCTTCATCGATCTCCATCACGTCGGCATATAACTGTTCTGGAGATTGCGTCGAGGCCCGCGGGGAGCGAAGCCTGTCGTAGACTTTGTTTTGGATCTTCGCAAGGATGACCTGTTCACGGAGCCAGTTTAATGTAGAGCCATCGTCAAACGTAAGCGTGTTGCGCCCATCGTCTGGAGCCTCCTCTGGCAGAGAGGAGAGCAGGTCGCTTGTAAGTGAGGGCGGTGTTGAATGGTACATGGACAAGTCTTGCTCTAGTATAAAGGCATGATAAAGCAGTCTTCTTTCGTGCAGAGCTGCAGAGCTACTTTGAGTGGGTACAATATGGTGATAGCCAGCCATGAGAATTGACTGAACAGCGGCTCCGAGGATGGTGGCAGAAGGATGGCTTCTAGATGTGTATACAAGATACATAGCCTAGGGTCAATTAGCAAAGAAGCTCTCGTTGTAAGAATCAGGGTCAGGACCATGAAAAGCATTGTCGCGATGCTAGCCTTATTGGGGCTCTGCAGAATCATCGCAGGGAGGATACTGAAAGAATTCTCGAAGCACTTTTCGGCTTCATCGTGTCGCATATTGTCAAATTTGCCAAGTGAATGGGCTAAAACAATGTTTAATGCAGCATACGATGTGGCATCTAAGAAAGATTGGCCATTGAGATGCCTTTGAAGTATTTCAGCCAGGTAATCGTCTTCGAATAAATGGATAGAGCTATTGTAGGTGGCGGTAAAGTCTGATGGGTATGAGATGTTTGAGCAACTTTAAAGAGGCATAGAGGCCATTACCTTTGACGCATGCCGTGATCATATCATTGGGGGGTAAAGGATGGTTGACCCGCCCTTCAAACTTTCCCAAAGGTACCTTCCTTGGAATCTTCAGACCGGATAGGAGGGAGCTAAAGCTGTCGTCGCCTACCAGTGCATCTATCCAGCGGATACCGTCGGGAGAGAGTATAGCGCATGATCCTGTTAGATAGTGGTTAAATTAGTTATGGTCTGTGAATCCTGTACCTTTCCTGCAGAGCGTTAGTTACCTATACACAATTTCCCGCCGTTCCTATCCCTCATGTCAAGAGAGATTGACCTATCCTCCAGCGAGCAGAGGTTGATTGTTGGCGGACTTTGAGTTGGAGCCGGCGAGAGCCCGGCAGTCTGCTGATTCAATTGGCTTGTCATATTATGGAGATATTCGCGTCTCATTTGGCTAGTAGGGAGATGCATGGATTCCGAGATCAAACGCTCCATATTCTCCAATCGCTGAGTTAGAGCACGATAGGACCTATGTCACATGGTGAGCACAGGATAAGCAAGTTTGTAGGTATCATCCAATGCAGGAGTGTTACATTTTATGCTTCGGAGGGCGCTGCCTTACAGCACTGTACTGGCAGCTATCTCCTCTTTCATTACATCGTGCGCAGGATGGGCGATTCCCGTCGCATCTAACCTAGAACGATCAAGGTTAGAGCGATATGGTCGGAATCGTGAAGGTAGAGTGGACTACCTTGCGGGTACGGCATGGGATGCACGCCCATCGTGACTTGGTTTCTCTAGGGTAGGTTGGGGTCTCCATTGCGGGCTGGACCCTAACACTTTGTATTCTTGGCTGGAAGAAAAGATCGCGATGATATTCCGATATAAACCGACTCCCGATCATCTGACCGACCCACTTTTCTCCAGGCAGCCCTTAGGCAGGCCATATTCCTGTTCTAGGTAACGGTGTCAATATTTGATCCATCTATATTACACCTACATATTATCTGGATTTTGGGCTCTAGATCTCTCTGATCTTTTTTCATTGCCTTACTGATATCGTTTCTTATAATTGAATGAAATGAATGGAGCCCTACCTCTCCCATCCAGAAAAAATATATATTCTGAATGCGTCGCCTCATTTAAGCTTAATGTAAGCTTGGTCTTTTTATTTCGTCCTTGTTTCTGCAGATTCAAGTTTTCCAGCAATAGAACCTCTGATTTACATAGCAGAATAACAATTGAATGGGTTATTAGGGGATACATACTATATGGGGCAGAAAAGTGAAGCGTGGCCACTGACAACGGGGACGGATGAGAAGCTTGGGAGGGCAGAGGCTGCAACCATGTGTGTCTAGGATTTAGATATATAACTATGGACTGACTATGTACATCTGGGATTACCCATAAGATAATACAGCAGGTGTGGGGATGAAGACTCCCCTTAGAATGGAAATAATCGTTGAGCTCGAACAGTCGAGCGTGGGATTCGAATAAGCACACCGAAGCAAAGTAAACATGAAAAGATTCATTCTGACATATTTTCCCCTTCGCTTCGTTAGAAGGTCTCTTACATTATTCGGTATATGAGATCCGTTCTATCTTCTTTGGGTGGAAAAGGTGATGTTGCGTAACACGGAGCAGCCCAGATTAAACATAATTAGGGTTTCCTGTTGAACATGCGTATAAGCCATGGCGCTGAGCGGACCGAGAGCCAAGGATGCAAAGAGTAGGAGCCATTTACCAGCTCGGAGGAATGTCCGACAGTATTATCACCTCGGAATTCTGATCTACGCATGGTATGTTACTGTTCATCGTCACCCTTCACTAAGGGACGTTGGACGGCAAGCCTTAGCCATTCGCAGATAGACCCGAAGTACAACTGGTGGCACCACTTAACAACCATTCTATCTTTATCCAGACGATGAAGAATTTTGCTCTTTTAACGGATAGTGTATAGGCAGGCGGGCCCTGTAAGCTTTGGTCCCTTGGAGCCAGCGAAGATTGACGAAGGCATCACAAAGTGAGATGACACACAATCGCTTATCAACGTTCTAGAAGACATCATTGAAGACCAGCAGTATGCGCAAATACCTACACCATTTTCCATATTCACATCTGGAGTAGTCTCCAATGTAACGGAGCCATTATTCAGGTAGTGTGGATATCATCTGGGACTCTCGGTGGATTACCGTCGCCCAGTCTTTCGGCTCTATGTCCGTGATTGGTGCCCCATTTCCCTAGACATGAGTAAACGTAGACTTCTCCTGGATGGAAGCCCTCAGCTGCCGAGCTAGGCCGGAAAATAGCGCAGGTATTATACCCCACAATGGCATCACATATGGACCTCGGATGGGATAGGCGGGGAAGCTATGCAAGGTAATTGTCGGGTTGCCTTCGGCCACGCGAACATTGTTCCCCAGTTTTTCCCCCGGCAATCCGGGGCAGCCTGCTGAAGTAGTCGAGTATTGGCTTTCGGTGATTTTGCGTATATAAAGGTTGGCCCTTACGCATGAGCCCGACCCCAGTGCCTGTGTGTACTAACACTTTCAATACTGCCGAGTACTTGGGCTCGTAGTTCACAAGATGCTGTCCACCGAGAAACCCTACTTCGGTTTGACTGGGGGATGGCTGACCTTCTGGCTTACAGTAAGTCGTGGTGTTTGCGATACTCCATCTCAGTTAAGAGCAGACTATAACAAGGGTGAAACCACAGGTCGCTTGCGGTGTGGACATGACGCTGTTTGGATACGATCAGGGTGTCTTCAGTATATCGCTCCCCCCTCATGAATACTACAGGAAAGCTAACCACCTTTTGGCAGGCGGCGTAGTAGTGACACAAGACTTCCTTGAGCTCCACGACCTAGTCGGCCCTACAAAGACTACGACACTTTCAACGGTGACTGCCATCTATGACATTGGTTGTTTTTTCGGTGCCATTCTCGCCTTTGCGATCGGAGACCGCCAGGGCCGCAAATATTGTCTCCTCTTGGGTACTGCAATTATAGCTGTAGGAACCATTCTGCAAGCATCATCATACAGCTTGGCCCAGATGTTCGTTGGCCGGGTTGTGCTAGGGTGAATCTATTTGAATTTCGGACCAACTTTCTGAACGGGATAGACTAACTAGGTGTACAGAGTCGGCAATGGTATGAACACAGCTACGGCACCCATCTGGCAAACCGAAACTGCACAGGCCAAATGGAGAGGAAAGCTCGTTATTTTTGAACTGGGGTTGAATGTCGGCGGGTACTGTATTGTCAACTGGATCAATTACGGGCTATCATTCCACGAGGGACCCATCGCGTGGCGTCTGCCCATCGCTTTGCAGCTTGTCCTTGTGATCATGTTGTTCCTCACTATCCCGTGGCTTCCTGAGTCTCCAAGGTATGCTGGTGATCCCCCGCTTGGAGAGTGGCAAGTGATTCTGATATGCATCCAGATGGCTTATAGCACACGATCGTCATGAGGAAGCGTCAGTGGTGCTTGCCGCTGTAGAAGGAATGTCCATCGATGACCCCTATATCACGACCCAGCACAACGAAATCAAGTTTAGCATCCAGTACGAGCGTGATAACGCCGTTCGCTGGAGAGACCTCGTACTTCGTCGGCAGTCTGACGGTACTAAAACGCTTCGCCGGTTGCTCCTAGGCGCCGGCACCCAGGCCATCCAGCAGCTTCAAGGTGTGTTTGTATTTCGAGCAATGGGACAACATTCCTACGTAAACCCCAACTAATCAAGTATGGCGTGTCTAAAGGAATAAACATCATGAGTTATTATTTGCCCACGGTGTTAATGAACTCAGTGGGGCTCTCCAATAGCCTGGCCCGATTGTTGACAGCCTGCAATGCGACGTCCTACTTCGTCTTCTCCTGCCTCGCGGTTACAGTGGTCGAGAGACTGGGCCGCCGAGGTCTGATGATGCTTTCTGGGTTTGGCCAGGTCGTTTGCTTCCTGATAATTACGATCCTGCTTCGGTTTGCAGAGATCGATAAGGTATACGCCACTGCGTCAGTGGCCTTCTTTTTTCTGTACCATATTGCATTCGGGATGGGAATGCTCGGCGTGCCCTGGCTGTATCCAACGGAAATCAACTCATTACCGATGAGGACTAAAGGAGCGGCGGTTGCAACCGCAACGAATTGGTAGGAGATGTCAACTAGAATCACTAGCGTGTGCCTTGAACTAACGTGAGGTTTTACAAGGATCACCAATTTTGCCATTGTTGAGATCACACCCATTGGGATCCAGAACATTGGATGGAAATTCTGGATCGTCTGGACGGTGCTTAACGCGGTTTTCCTACCGATTATCTACTTCCTCTATCCGGAGACAGGTTTGTTGACACGAAATAGCTGTTCTATTCACGGAATACATGCTGATCAGGCTGCAGCAAACCGAACGTTGGAAGATGTGGACGCCTACTATCGGTCCAACCCACCATTGATCGTGGCTGGTGATCCGGATGCCACCTCGACAAAACGCCCGCTTAGGTTCATCCATCATGAAGATAATGAAGTCCAGAGACGGGCGAAACGACCCGATTCTCTGTCCTCTAAGAGTGACGAGTTCGCTAGTGCGGAGCACGTAGGGTGAATTGCGTTACCTAAAAGAGAGGAAAAGTTTCGCCCGTTGACAATGTGATGTATATACGTTTGGAGAATCTCCACTATCCACAAGGAGCTCTATAGACGACTGAATTCAACTCTTCTTGTTTTATTCCTTCGCCAGTGCGTATGGATGGTCGTCTCGGAGATATCTCCGAGGCCGGTAAGCCCTGACCCACCCGGTGCGACGGAGTAAATCCCGACATGTCCAAAACATGATCTCTTGCCTAATTACTCATCATTAGGGTTGATATTTAGCTACTACTTAGTCCTACGGATATTGATATACTCGACGGAAAAAACCTATTTTAAACTTGAAAACGGACTATCAATAACATTTCTAGAGAGAGACATATAGTATCTCTTGCGGATTGAAAAGAGGAAGCACCACGGGCTGAATTTCGATGAACACATGGCAATAGGGGCACACTGGAATAAGAACCCCGAGTCACTCAAAGGACCCAAATGTCAGGCTGAGTTTGCACTTGAGGGGGCAGGTGAAGCTGGACGGTATATAGCATCGTTGACAACCTTGGCCGACGCCTTGCTCAATTCTGCAACCCACAAATCAACAACCTTTGCAAGCCGATCTTTGTCGAGGTTCTCCACAGTTGAATCGCGAATCATGCCCAAGAGTTTGGCTTTGTCCTCTTGTCGCAGTGCTCCCTTGATTGCATTCCGAAGGTTCTGCTTCGTAGATGCGTCCAGTTGTGAGTGCTTAACCACTTGCAAAAGACCAGGTTTATCAGCGAGAAGCTTGCTTGTCAGGTGAACAGGTTTATCACCGATCAGCTTGTCTTTCAGGTAGAATACTGGAAGTTGTGAAGCCTTAATCTTGCTCAAGAGGTCTTCTTTGTCACCTTCTCCGCAGGTTCCCTTAATGGCATCGAGGAAATCCTCCTTCTCAGGCTGCTCACAATTTGACTCGACTATTTGTATGAAAACAGTTTTGTCATCGAGAAGCCTGTTAGCTAAGTAGGACTTTGCATTGTCCGAATTCCTAAGCGCTTCTAGGACCTTTTCCTGCTCAGTTTGTCCCAAGGTCCCCTTGATTGCATTGTCAATCCTGTTCTTCGTATCTGTATCCGGCGGCACAGCTGCGTACTTAACCACATTTAAAAGACTGTTTCTATCATGGATAATTGTCGTAAGAATGTACACCGCGCACTGAGCGGTTCCAATGCCGAGTGTCCAGCCAGACCCTCCATGTCCATAGTTATGGACGAGAGGAAATCCACAGTCCTCATCGGCTCTAACCTTGACGTTCTTTTTGGTAAATGGACGCAGGCCCTGGGCAAAAGGAAAGTGGTTCACAAAACCAGCGTGACTCAAACTGGGCATAAATTCTCCCGCCCGATCCCACATCTGCCGGACCTCGGGCGATTCAGGAGTCAAATTCATCGTATTGCTATGCCGTTGGATGATGGAGCCGACGTAGAGGATGTCATCGTTTCGAGGCACAATGAACACCGTCTTGGAGGGTACATCTCCCGGCCCCATTTGCGCGGGAACTAGATAGGCATCATTTAGATGACGGAACTTGCTGTAGCGTGTATTCTCAACGCGACGGATTGCGCCACGAACCGGGTACACGTCCTGGTCGTTGACTAGCTCTTTGGCACCGAGGCCTGTGGCATTGACAATGATATCGGCCTTGTAGTCTACTAGCAACTGCTGACCAGTTTCCTTCAGATCTTTCACCACTCGGGTCTCCAGTGTTGCCCCCTTTCGCTGGACAAGCGCCATGAGATAGGCCAACGCCTTGTCAGTATTAATAATCGGGGCGTCATGGGTGTAGCCGCTTTCAAAGTCTTTTCCCCCGTAGCGCAGATTGATAGATGGTTTCTTGAAACCATCGGCGATTTGTTGTTTGTTGTGGTACACTTTATGATTGCGAATCATCTTTTGGCTGGCGTAATCCCTGGCTTTTTTGTCATCATCCTCGATGACGTAAGATCTGACGGCCTTATACTTGTTGTTGTGTTCATATCTTGGTAATGCTTTGTCGGAGCAGTCAGAGATGACATCCTCATAGAAAAACTGATGAAGCTTGGCGACGGAGAGGCCCAAGGAGTGTCCACCTTTCTCGTGTTCGTCGGAAATGTCTGCATAGGCTGTATAGAATGCATAGCTTTGCATGGCCCAGTCTCGATAATGTTGCACAGTAGCCCAGCCAGGGCCTGGGGATTCGATTTCAGTCAGGCCACAACCCCCGGGAGGCATCTCCCACAAAGCCCCAGCAATCTGAGACGTGATACGCGACTCGCTGAAGTCCCAAGTGCGTGCCCATTCTTTGGCAAGAATTGTCACTCGGGTGCCCTGGTCAAGAAGCATCCATGCAACCAGCAATCCGCTGACACCACCGCCGACAATGAGAGCATGCGTGCTTTCGGAGTTAGGTGTATGCAGCGGGTCATCTCTAGTTGACACCTTAAAGTCCTTTGCCCCTGGAGTGTATTTGCCTTTGAATACCTTCACTTCAGGTTCACTTGCCATAACGTTCAGTCTGGGGAAGAATAAACGAATTCAGTGATAGGGGCTGGAAGCTGATTGCTGTGGGATGTTCAATACTTCAAGTTGATGTGGATGGGATGGTAGATCAGACGAGGTAGCTTCGCAGTATTTATAGACCGGGATCTACTAGCACCATACAATGGCACGCCTAGTCGTAGTGCTTCGGTGGCATAGCATGAATTATTTTGCTATGGGGAATATATTCCCGGCCTCGCACGCCTGCAGATGCTCCAATCAAAATTTCCTCTTGCTCGAGAATCCTCTTGTATCATAACAAGTACCAAGTCATATGCGATGAGACTTGCACATGTATCTCTTGGGCGAATATCTAATGATCACCTCGCTTCATTTCTGGGCACCAGAAGTGGAGTGTGCTTTGCAACGTAGTGGAAGTCCCACCTGTACACCATACGCTCCGCCAAATGGCCGGACATTTCCCCACGTTAGCATTTCAGATGAATGCTGCAGGAAGTCGCAGCCATTGTGGACGAAGTGTGTGCGCGGGGGGCAAGGTCGACTCCACCCTCTCGCCTAAGCAGGATTGCGAGCAAGGCAGCCTAGAGTATGTCGATCTGAGGCCTATGGAATTGACCTTCTCCGACCCATCCCAGACATGATTGACTATAGCCGTGCTCCAAATCGTACGAGGGATTATAAACTTCTGCACTGGGGACCTTTCAGGTTTGGAAGGAGCGCCGGACCCGATTGAAGAATCCAAGAAATCACTATCATTCCTTATTTCAGCGACAACGGTGACAATATGAGAACACTACTTGATTCTTGGCACGTTTCTTGGACTCAACACACCTACCAACATTATTAGTATATTACATAAATGGAAGTTGAACAAACAAAAGTTCCATTACTCGCATTTCTCACAAGGTCGTTAAGCACCCACAACTTTAGGTTCACGGTCCATCCCGACCACGCATGCATGCATCTACACTTTGGTCATAGTATTCTGTAAAAGTCGCCCTTCTCTCCAATTGCTTCCTTGTATTTCGCCATCAGACATGCACAGACCTTGTCATCAGGTGCCGCGTGCAGAATGGGTATAGTATACACACACCAGACTGGCAGATCTTGTTCCGTCACTGTGTAAATCGCACAGATTATTTTTCAGCCAGCCATCTGATGAATTCTCGTAGTTTACTCATTTCGTCTGTATGCATATGCTAGCTGTGGGTTACCCACGTATTCTCTTATGCAGTATGAACCGAATGCCTCTCCGTTTGTTCACACTCGGCCATCTTCTCATTCCACTAGATCACGTATACACTATGCATGGAAACCATTGCAGTACATGGAACGAGCACGAATAACAGAAATCCTTCTGGGACTCAGGCCTCTAACTAGGATGTGAGGTGATGCAACATGTCGTACTTACACACGTAAACCCCATGTGACAGGTAATTTCAATTATGCAACCACGACTGTGAGGCAAGTACTGCATGGCTACTGCTTTGCGAGGGACCTGTAGGCTGATCGAGTGTGAATAATGGAACTAACACCTCAGAGGGAGTACTTCGCGAACCGGAAGCCCGTCGATGTGAGGCATTGTGATGCTGTAGACTAGCCCGCTATGCTGCATGTCGTTGTGATTTCCCGTGATTTGTTTGGTTTAATCCGTGGCGGCATCTGGGTTTAATGCGCAAGGATTGTAACCTGCACATTATATCATATGCAATGCCCTTGCTGATCTCCCTTTCGGGCGAAATGGATAGTGATTTCGCAAAGCAACCACGGGTAGTCCTCCGGATAAGTTTTCCCACCGCCAAGACCTAAGCGAGGCTCGAACGGTGGCAGTGACCCTAAAACGTGGCACTAATAAACCCATCTTACAGCGCTTTTGTCTCTCTGATTGGGCATCGAAGACACGCTGATCATTCTTGTGGCTGGCTCAGATCTAAGGGAGGGGTGTGCTGATCACAGTGTAACACCACGAGCGAGCTGGCTGGCCGATTTCAAATATTATTTGCAGACGTGCAGATGATATCATCCTATGCAAAGTGTTATCTCGCGACATCCCATTGCGTGGCTAGCAGGGGTGGGTCAGAGTGGATGGGAAGCTTTCTCAGAGATTGATCATTCCACGATGGTTGATTCTGAACGGGATCCGCTGTGGTTAAACGTTGGGCATACCATGTCGGAGCCTCCTGGAGGGCTGTCGATTATGCCCGACACAGCCTGCAGAACAGCACACCATCCATGATCATCGCATACCCGCTTGCGATCGAAGGAAGGCCTATCAGCTTCGCCCGCGTAGAGAATTGTCTAACGTGGGTCTGCCTTAATGAGGCATCCTCCAGCGCTAGTCAAGAAATTCTAACTCGAATTTGTCCGTAGATCTCTGACGGTTTGGGTATAGCAATTTACGGATTCATCTCTAACTTAGCTCTGCACGAGTCCAGGGACAGATTGCAGGTATTGACGATATTCCCGATATGTGTAAGACAATGGGGGTAAAGATGGATAGGTTTGATTTGAATATTCCACCGGAAGCTGGTCTGGCCCTAGTGAGATATGGGGAGCTGGGTGTTTGAGAGTTCCAGCCTCTGCAATGGATAGACTGGAGGGAGGATGACGACAATACAACACCTAGGTCTGGATATGGATACTACACTTGCTTAGCGCCATGCTGAAGCAGCAGGCGGGCCACATCATGATATTTCTTCTCGTGAACCCAGAAGTATGCTGTCATGCGATTCGCGTCTTGGCACTCAATATCGGCACCATTGTCAAGCAGCAGCCTAACCACATCCTCGCACCCATGGCTAGCAGCGTATATCAATGCTGTATTGCTGTCGTCATCCTGACAAGTTAGATTAGCACCCCTTTTAAGCAGCAGCTGGACTATGCCAACCTGTCCCTCTATAGCAGGCGAGATCAGTGATGTACAACCCGTCTGGCCTTTGCACTCTAGATCAGCGCCCTGTTGAAGTAGCAGTCTGACCACACGCTCATGACCTTCGGTGGCAGCATATGCTAGTGATATGCGATGAGTATCATCTCCACGATTAAAATTAACGCCCTTGTCCAGTAACAGCTTAATCACACCCTCGTGTCCAGCTGTGGCAGCCCACATCACTAGTGTATAGCCCGAACCATCGACGCTATGAATATAAGCCCCCCTTCCAAGCAATAGCCTAACCATTGTGTCCATTCTTGGTAGCCTATATCACTAGTGTACGGCCTTCATCACCTTCATTGTGAAGTTCGGCACCACGTTCAAGTAATAGCCTAACCACATCCTCACATCCATAAGAAGCAGCCCAGACTAGAGGTGTCTGACCATCCTTATCTCTGCACTCTGAATCAGCGCCCCTTTTCAGTAGTGCCTCTATAAGTGATTTATATCCTATTGTGGGTACCATAGCAGCGATGAGCCTTGACAGAGCTTAACGCCATGCTTGTATAGGGGACCCATATGTTGAATAGCGTGAATACGTGGGTACGATCTTTATATAGAAAGAACATCCTTGGCAGTTGGTAGGCTTTCAATGATGAGAGGTAGCACCTCATTTGGAAGGTCGGGGAGAGGCATTGCAAAGGCAAGTATAGTCTAGTGATTGAGTTATGTTTCAACAAATCTGAGTAGATTTGGCGGTTGTGCTGATTGAAAAACAAAACGCGGTGTTCAACGTCTGGGGTGCGCATGTATGATCACATGACCCATGTGCACACTATTCCAGAAACAGGAACGGTCGTTTACTGTGGCGCAGGCTAATTTGATGTGCCTGGAGCCAGCTAAGCTTCGCAGACCCACTGGCTTTCTTCAGAACCCGTCCTAGTGAGGACCTTGCAGAAGTACTTAAGGTACGTATGTGAGCCCCCATACCCACCAACCAGGCTTGACTGCCTGAGCTAACAATCTAAGGTAACTGTGTAGAAGGCCTTGCTTTTGAAGCTATTCAGCCCTATCGGCTGGGGTGCTAAAAATGTCAAAATTCTTCACCCAGAGCTCTCGCTTTCTACAATCAAATCTACGATTCGCCTTCAATCTCAGCGTACTAGTAATACTATACGCACCCACCCAGGCAGGCCTAAAACGCCGACTTTAGATCATCGTGTGCATATTCTTGAGCTCGTTTATCAAAATCGTCATACGACATGTTGCGATATATTAGCTGCAGTTAATCATACAGTTAAAAGGAGCTCAATAAAACGGCTGCTATCTGAGTCAGGCAGGGAGAGACGGTGACAGAGATATACGCCTGACTGAACTATTGTGTTCACACCCTCAAAGAAAACAGTATTTAAGCGATCAATGCGCACAACAAGGAGATATCTGGGGCAAAGCCTTTCGTTCATATCGTACAGAGAAGCACCGCCTACCACCAAGAACATATACCTTCACTCATGTGAGGTGCTTTGGCTTGGTGGCATCAACGCTGGACCCTGTATAGGGCCGAGTAAAGTGAGGTTGATCGTCGTAGAGAAGCTGGAGAACGTCGACCACGACATTAACAGAAGTAGGAGTGTCGACATCGACTCATATGCTCGTTCGATTGTAACATTAAACTCTGACGGTACTGTCTGGATAATCACGGTAAACTTCTCCAATGTCTCCTGTGGAGCCCCAACTAGTGAAAGCTTCACCAGAATACTCGTAACAGACGAGACTCTAGGTCTCATGTTGCTCTGAATGGGTGGTTGGGAGGCTGATGACCTCTTCTTAAATGGATGAGAGATTGGCTGGGGGCTTTGTCTCAGGTTTGTTAACTTGGCATCCGGCGCATCAGGTGTTTTTGTCTCCTGAATTCTCTGTAGGGGGCCATCGGCCATGACATAGGGTTGCGGCTCTCGCAGACTTTGTGCGGCTGCGGCCAGCCATTGCGTGAAGGTAATGTACGTAGCCACACACGATCTGGCTGTTCCTATAGTGCCCCAAGCAGACAGGACATCAGCAGTCCGGTCGCTGAAACTACACGCTGCTCCTGCATAACAACAGTCTAAAATGCCTAGGGTATCAAAACCTGTGACAACAGGCCAGAAGGTAGTGCTGAGAAACTGCCATTGAGTATTTTGCTGCCCATCTGCACTCCGTAATTTGAGTGAAGGCTCACGGTTGACGACGGCGTATATTATGTAGTCCTATGGAAGTGACGATTGGTAGCGACCGTAACTGCTGATCTGATATAGTGAGTTAATGGTGCTGCAGACACTGTAGATATGCTGTCGAAGTACTGCTGCAGGCCATATCTCAGAGCGTTGGATAATAAATACTGTTGGCGTGATGTCGAAGGTGTCTTGAAGCAGCTTTTGAGTGTTATTGCGTCATCCTTTGCGCCTGTATCATCCTTCTCAAAGTGAAAAATCACTGCGTGAGTTACAAAGTGGGATGTGCCTCTGGACTCAACGACCTTCTTGTGCCTCTAGGTCTGGCAATGGCCTAGTACGCATAGCTTCCCATGCTTGAATAGTTAGAATCAGGACATGAAATGGTCCAATGACTTAGAATGAGGGAGGGTACTTAGACTTGAGGCTTGATATCAAAGATCATTTTGACAGAATTTGAGTGGATGTGAGGGCGTGCGATCCAGATGAACACGCTCCCAACTAGGCCAAAAGGTCAAATAATTCTGAATCTACAATTCAGAAGCCCTGGATCGCACCTATATAGTATACCCCGGTTACGGTAAAAGAGATGACGGTTGCCTTAATCATGAATAGGGCGGAAATACAGAGCAGAGATAGTTGCAAAAGGAGGGTTTTATGGAGACGGGACTGGGGTGAAGAATGCAGATTAAATGATTTACAATAATTTAGAGAGTGAGGCCTTGATAAATTGAATACACGTAACAGATCATGTGGCAATTGAGCAGGTCGTGTCATTAACTCCATCGACAACATTTTGTAAGGCAGCTGAACTATATATTAACTGTAGATATAGATAAAGTAAACATCATTGTCCTAAGTGGGATTTATATGAAAAGGTCAACTCCCAGATAATAATATCCTCATGCCAAGCTGCTACTCTGTAGTGTGTATAGATATAGGTGTGATATGCCTGTGTTCAAGATTAATGTCTGAAAAGCGCAGTACAGCTGGTCGCTGTTCACCGTCGTGATTTCTTCCAAAGCCCTAAAACAGAACGGAGCTAAGCCGTGTGTGAGAAAGTACCGGAATAGCCTTCCTCCGCGTAATCAAGACATGTAATTAACATAGCTGTTCTGCCGTGTATGTTAGCTTTAGGGCTTCATGAAGAACCCAAGTATATAAACATTTCTTGTAACCAGGTGTAAAGAGGCAGTATTATAGATGGCTGCACTGATTGAACAAAATATAAAGGTCAATAGGATAGGTTAGCTAAAGCAGATAATCGTCAATTAACCAATAGTTCATGACTGCCACGTTACCTCAACAATTCAATTTGCACATCCATAGTTTCTTTCACTAACAGCTTCATTTCCCATTTTTTCCTCATCGATCTCGCCCGATGCGCCATGTTAGTCAAAAGCGACTCTGTCTGTGAACGATCACACTCTATCTCCTGACGACTCGTATTGGGAACAGAGATATGCCCTGCTCTATTCCGCTTCGAACAAATGAAATCAGAGTCATGTGATGGGATGATTGATAGCAAGAGATATAAGTATCTGCACCACGCAGCCGACAAATGTCGTTGCGTATACAATTACCTACACAGAGTGTGTGAATAGTCCACATTTATGTACGCGACCAACTTCACTGCAATGACATATAAAGGGGGTTTGGAAGGGAAGTTGGCATCTGCTGGACCGCTAAGAAGGCATCAGTAAGTCGATTTCCAATGGGCTGAAGATGTATGATATTCCTTTGGTAAAATAGTCCAAAATTCAAGTATTAAATAACCGCGTAGGGGTAGTTACGAATATCTCGCCTCATAGATTTCACGCTGAGACGATAATTTCCTATAGAAAGTCGCTCAGTATCCTCAGCAACGTTGCCATGCTACATTACATTAGTAATTTTTAAGCTCATCCTCTTTAACTCCTATTTCCACCACTGCTACCTCTACTGATCCTGACGCACATCACACGACAGCAGGGTAACACGACCCAACGCGTACAGTAAACCACAATATCTATCATCTCCCCCACACCTCCATGGCCATAATAATAATCAACATTTGATACGGAACTGAACCGTGCACTCCAAGTCCGTGTCGGCCAAGTACTTGTGTCAAGCCTCCAGCAGAGAATACGTTTTTGACATTGCCATTACAAGCCTCCCATGTGGTGAGTGGTATTGACAAGAAACTCCACCGCGTTGACACAGCTGGCACAGGGAGTTTTGTCCGAGCAACGGTTACAGAGTTTGCAGTTATGACACGCGGTATTTCGCCCGTCGCGATTCTATTAGCTGAGCGCAATCCGTTCTCGGAACTACTCATGTTGATACTGGGCCTGTGCTGTGTGATAGGACTACGGGGGTTGACACCGCTCGGCACATGGGACCAAGGTCGTTAGCCCCATCTGTCATGTTGGGGAAGGAAATCAGAGATAGTCCAGAGGACTCTATCTGTCCATTTTTCGGCGTTTTCACCGACCTAGGATGGCTTCAGCCCACAAGATTAGGCTCGGGACTAGGTACCGCAGCGAGACCTGTGGGTCTGTCTCGGTGATTCCACCGAGACAACCAGAATACGACAGGTGGGGGGTAATAGAAACCAGTATTTTCTAAGATAGTCTAATGCAATATTTTGCCACTCTTGTATGTTATTAGCAGTGAACAGCAAAACCCTAGATAGTGTGGGGTAGGTTGTCCGGGGTAAGAGTCCGGGGCAGGAATCTGGGGTATATAGATAGGCATTGATCAACCCTTCAGCAATATCTTCTAGTTCATGCTCTGTATTTAGAAGAAATATAACCACCAGCCAGTTTCTCCAATACCTCCTTTTTAGCCGTTGCTATCGCTGGCTTGTTGCTGTGCCTAGTTGTTCTGCCTATCCTGATCGCGAAGCGTATTCCTTTCCGAGTAGACGGACGGGACCACGCCAACACACATTATACATAGCTAGCGATGGCAGGTGGTCACACAGTTACATACGGTCCCACAGGGTACAAAGGGATAATCAATGAACCTCGCATCTTCGGGCTAGCATGCTTCGCCTCGATAGGCGGGTTTCTCTTTGGCTATGACCAGGGCGTGATATCTGGTGTGCTTGTCATGAACAACTTTGTAAGTCATTTTCCTGGGTGTTTGACATCATATGCATTGCCTTGGACTGAGTTTTAACTTCGATGTCCCGATCCAGGCGAAGCATTTTCCAACCCTTACCGAAAACGCAACTCTCCAAGGATGGCTAGTTTCAATCATGACCTTGGGTGCGATGTGTGGGGCTTTTGCGAATGGTCCCATCAGCGATAGCCTGTCCCGCCGTTGGTCAATCTTATGTGCCAACATCGTCTTCCTCGTCGGCTCCGTCATCCAATGTGCCGCAGAAAACGTGGCGATGCTGTTCGTTGGTCGCTTCGTATTTGGCTGCGCAGTTGGGATGTTGGCGATGGTTGTTCCTCTCTACCTTTCCGAGCTTGCGCCCCCAAATATCAGAGGCGCATTGGTGGCCCTGCAACAGCTCTCGATCACGCTCGGTATTATGAGCAGCTTTTGGATCAATTATGGAACACAGTACATTGGTGGTACAGGTGCGGGCCAAAGTCAGGCGGCTTGGAGAATCCCTTTCGCCTTGCAATGCTTACCGTCAGCTATCTTGGCTGTGGGGACCTTCTTCCTTCCCTATAGCCCGCGTTGGTTGATGAATAAAGGTATGCGATGTCGATGAGTTGGTATTACTTCACATAACTGACGTTCCGGTAGGTCGAGAAGAGGAAGCAAAGCAGGTCTTAGTGCGCTTAAGACGGCTTCCTGATACAGACTACAGACTCACGCTTGAATTTCTCGAGATAAAAGCTGCGCGACTGTTCGATGAGGAGAGTAGGGTCGCAAAGTATGGCGAGAACAGCTCGCGGCTCCAGATTGCCTGGAATCAGTATAAAGAGCTCTTCACAGTACCTCACTTGAGGAGGCGCACAACAATAGCATGTCTACTCCAGATCCTCCAGCAATTTACGGGCATCAGTAAGTTCATTTCAGCCCAACAGAAACCCATCCACTGACCATACCAGACGCGGTTATATATTATGCCCCACAGTTCTTCGAGGCCATCGGCTTGCAAGGTAACTCGGTGAATCTGCTGGCAACTGGAGTCGTAGGCATTGTGTTTTTCATCTGCACCATCCCAGCAGTGATGTACTTGGACCAGTGGGGACGGCGGAAAACGCTGATACTGGGATCTATCGGAATGTCGATCGCCGAACTGATAGTCGCGACCTTGTACGCGGTTTACCAGGACCGGTTTTCTCAACACCCGGCCGCCGGCTGGGCCGCTTGTGTCTTTGTCTGGGTCTATATCGGCACCTTTGCCTTCAGCATTGCCTGTGTGAACTGGGTGATGCCATCGGAAATGTTCCCCCCGGCGACGCGCGGCAAAGCGGTTGGTGTCGCGATTGCCGCTAACTATCTCTCGAATTTCATCGTCGCGCTAATCACCCCGAGGATGCTGCAATCCATCACCTTCGGCACGTTCTACTTCTTCTTGGTGTTTTCGATCACCCTCGGGGTATGGACGTATTTCTGTGTTCCTGAGACGAATGGTGTTCCCATTGAGGAAATGGATACATTGTTTGGTGGGAATGACGGTGAAGCGGACGTGCAGCGCATTGTGAGCATCAGGACGAGGCTAGGAATTGACACTTCGGAGGACGGGAAGATGGTGCTTGAAGAAACTAAGCACGGCAATGTAGAACATTGCGAACGTGTAGACCAGAAACCCTGATTGCTCAGGCGCATGTACAGGTCAGGGTTGATAGCGTGGTCGGCAATGCTAAGCCGCATAACACCGGGTGCAATATATGAAAAGAGTGCCCACAGCAGACCGGAGCCAAGCACCTTCTGACGGGGACGTTGAGGTTAATAATACAGAGCATTTAAAATATCCGTATCTAGCATCCATTATAACTATACTGAAGGTTCGGCGTTTGATGAGGAAGGGTAAATCCCTGCTTATTAAAATGATTCCATTCCTTGAACCTCAACGTACAATATGAACGGACTACCTAGGACCTATATTTTCACTGTACATAAAATGCGCAAAAGGCTGTACGAGTCGAGGCCAATAGACATAATCGAAGGATCCCAACAACACCAGTGATCGATATGCATTACGCAATACAACTCTCCATTCTTTTTCCCACCACAACTAATTGCGAATGATCTCTCTCCCATCCAGCCAATCCATGAACCACGCATAGCACATCAGGACCCTTCTCCTCCACGACCGCGTCCAGAAGAAGTTGCCAGATCTCCAACTCAGCCATGCACCGTAGCCGGTGTACTCGCGCTTCCCTTGAACCACACCGTCCCACGCACCGGTGTATGTTACCAGTGACCGCTGCTGGTATTGAAATGGCCGAGTATCCTTTCCACCGGAGTTGAAAAGGCGGATGAGATAATCCGCTTTCTGGATTGCAACTTCGGCCGTTGTCGGCAGTGTTCCGTCCTCAATGTCGGCCGCATCTCCCATTGCAAACACATTCGGTATCACATTGCCATCGGGTGAGAAGACATTGAGATGGTCGTCTGTCAGAATTCGGACAAGGCCCTTTTCGGTCTTCCGAAGTTGCAGTTGGTCGACCAGCGGTATCGACCTGTTTCCGGTGGCCCAAATGAGCATCCCGTAGCCACTGATCCCAGATTCCCGGGTCTCGATGGTGTCCTTTGTAACGTTGACGATGTGGCAGTTGAGTTTGACCTTGACCTTGTTGGTTTTCAGTGCACCGCACGCGTATTCTGATAACTTTTGGTCAAATGGGGCGAGAATCTGGGGTGCGACATCGATCACCGAAACCGACGTCAGGTCCTTGAGGTGTGGGAATAAAACTCCCAAATCACCTTCGAAAAGATCGGTCAATTCAGCGGCCACCTCGATACCAGTGGGACCACCGCCAACGATCACGATATGCAGCAGCTGCCTCTGCCGCGCCTCCGATGTCCCGGGTAACGAGGCCATCTCCAGGATATCGTTCAGACGAGTCCGGACCGTATTGGCATTGGCCACATTCTTGACAAAGATAGCGTTCTCCGCCACCCCAGGGATGCCGAAGGTGTTGCTTCGACAGCCTGGCGTGAGGATCACGCGGTCATATGATACTTCGAAGCGATCATCCTTCAGCTCTTCGAACGCTGGCTGACAGATGAGCACCTGCCGGCTGAAGTCGATGTCGACGACGAAGGCTTTGATGTATTGGGCATGAAAGTCCTTCCGGCGGATGGGCTCATGGGCCAGACGGGGGTCAAACAGCCCGCAAGCCGCACTGGCGAGGAGGGGAGTCACAGCAGACGTGTTCTCCGGCGCAATAAGGGTGATATCGTATTTTCGGTGGTCGATGCCGTATCCCAGTCGATAACCACCCCATCCACCGCCAATGATGACTACCTTTTCCTTACTTGACATTGTTGATTTGGGGGATCTGATCTTGGGGAACGGTGCAGAAAGACATTTCAGAATGAAAGCTACCTTCCCCTGAAAGACCTTTATAGGTCATGCCGGGTATGGATTAGAAATACCTTGCCGATCTAACTATCCATAGTATTCCTGACATCATGACTTCTTGTCCCGAACTAGCAGGCTAGAGTCATCGCCCAGAAAATATGAGGGGAACTGAAGGGAGGTGGTCTGACAGAGTTTGCCACGTAAACATGTTACTGGTCTACAGCTCCGTCTCGAGCTGGAAGCTTGAAGTGAGGGGGGGAGGCGCGCGTTGGTTGTTGGTACTTGTGAAAGCTAGAATCGTGAAGATAAGGTGAGAAGCGAACACAATTAGGTCTGGTGAATGCTTGGCAGCGGTTTGCCGAGCGTGCTTCCGATTGGCTCGATACTATACCCCAAATCGGCAGTACTAATTCGGCAGCTGCACTAGCTTGCGGCGATGATCTCCAAGCTGTCCCCTATATCAAGGGAAGAACCTGTGGATTCATTCTCTGTCAGCTATCCTACCTAGGCCTATTTGGGACCCCGACTCAGGATTGATAAGGCTATGGCCATTCTGGCCTCCATGACCATGGGTCCAGGTCCACGTTTAACTTTATTATGAGTACTATTCGGCAGCCGCACTAGCTGGCAGCGATGATCCTCAAGTTATGTCCTATATTCAGAGAGGAGCCGGTGGATTCATTCTCTGTCTGCCATCCTACCTAGGCCTATTTGGGACCCCGCCTCAGGATTGATAAGGTTATGGACATTCTAGCCTCCATGACCATGGGTCCAGGTCCACGTTTAACTTTATTATGACAAGCTGAGTCTTCGTGTCTGCCGCTCCCCACATTCTCGACCCTGATAACTCCGATTAAATCCTTTCAAACCCACTATTCTTGATGACTCCCATGCTCGATTTTTACTTGGTAGACGTCATTTCTGTTGTCATGATACTTCTGTCACCACCGAGGATGCTAGGGACTCGCTCTATATAAGTTCGACCACTTCGAACCCAGGCAAAACTTCTTCCCTCATTCAATTCTACCTTTAAATCAAATCCCCTGGAAAAACAGTCATTTGAAAGGCAAAACGCGTTCACTATGACTAGTACCGTTGGTAAAGTGAGTTCCCCGCCCCCATGCCCTGATCTCCAATACATCCTCCAAGCTTTCCGTCTATCGCGCTGGACGATGAGTAGCCACTCTTTACCTCCAGACCAACCAAAACCAATGTTATTCTATGAGATGCGCTCCTTCTCGAATATTGTGCTAACATGAAATGATAGACCATTACTTGCAAGGTAAAGACGTTCGCAGTATATCTCGTGCATCATTGTGACTGATAACATCAGGCTGCTATCGCCTGGGCTGCCGGCGAGCCATTCTCTATTGAGGATGTCGAGGTTGCCCCTCCGAAGGCCCATGAAGTGCGCATTAAGATTGTGCACACCGGCGTGTGTCACACCGGTGCGTTCTTCCACGTTGTATAAATTTGTTTCACTTTCCAATTTGAGTCGTATCGGCTAACATGGTGGTGGCCACAATACAGATGCCTACACTCTGTCTGGTAAAGACCCCGAGGGAGCCTTCCCTGTTATCCTGGGTCACGAGGGCTCCGGTATCGTCGAGTCTGTTGGTGAGGGCGTAACCACCGTCAAGCCCGGTGATCAAGTCATCGCGCTCTAGTTAGTGATTTCTCCGATCTCACCTGGGTGAGAACCCTCGCTGATGATGACCAGTACCCCCGAATGCGGCGAGTGCAAGTTTTGCAAGTCCGGGAAGACCAACCTGTGCCAAAAGATCCGTAACACGCAGGGTAAAGGTGTGATGCCCGACGGAACGTCTCGCTTCAGAGCCCGCGGCAAAGACATCCTGCACTACATGGGAACCTCCACCTTCTCTCAGTACACCGTTGTGGCCGATATCTCGGTCGTGGCTGTTACGCCTAAGGCACCGACAGATCGTGCGTGTCTGTTGGGCTGTGGTATTACTACTGGCTATGGCGCCGCTACCGTCACTGCCAATGTGGAGGAGGGGTCGAATATCGCCGTCTTTGGCGCTGGGTGCATTGGTTTGTCGGTGATTGAGGGTGCGGTGAAGAACAAAGCGGGTAAGATTATTGTGGTTGATGTCAACGATGATAAGGAACAGTGGGCGCGCAAATTTGGTGCGACACATTTTGTAAACCCGACCAAACTCAAGAACGGCAAGACTATCCAGGAGGAACTTATCGAGCTCACTGACGGTGGATGCGATTATACCTTCGACTGTACCGGAAATGTCGGTGTGATGCGTGCTGCCCTTGAATCCTGCCATAAGGGTTGGGGTGAGAGTATCATTATCGGTGTTGCTGCGGCTGGTCAGGAAATCGCCACTCGGCGTAAGTTTTCTCAATCTGCTGGCTGTCGGTCTATCTGTGATCACATTGCTGACTAGTGATATAGCATTCCAGCTAGTGACCGGGCGAGTGTGGAGGGGATGCGCCTTCGGTGGTATCAAGGGTCGGTCTCAGCTACCCGCTCTTGTCGATGACTACGTCGCCGGCTACCTCCGGGTGGATGAATATATCACTCATCGGGAGTCACTGGGGACCATCAATACGGCTTTCCAGCATATGAAGAGTGGTGACTGTATTCGGTGTGTGTTGGATATGAAAGTCTAAGGTGGGAGTAATAGGGCATATCCAGGTGTACAGTAGGCGCAAATTGCCTTGAGGAGCAGCGATGTGAAATGTATCTTTCCCCAATAGCGAGGGTTACAGTGTTGCCAGTTTAGTTAACGAGATGAATATGAGGATCTATGAAGTCGACGCCGAAGATGACTCCCCTTTGTAGTCAGTCCCATCCAGGCGCCCTCCCTTGTCTTCCCAGCCCGGCTGGGCGCTTATAAGATACTCCCCCCCCATCGATGTCTTCACATTTTCCCAGTTCTCTTCTCATCTCCCACCCCCGATCCCCAAAAGCAACGTAGAGAGCCTTGCTGCCTGTGTTCCCAGGTTCTACTCCTGATCATTTATCTTGGCTTTTCCAAATGGCACGTCCACTCGTTCGGTCAGCTCAGCGTGAGGAGCACCAATATTGGACTGATCCCATCCTTTGCAACGAAACTCGAGCAAGGCTGGAACAGTTTCGTAGCCTTGGATGGTTACCTCCAGAGTTCAAACCGAATATCTTAAAAGATATCGCCGTCGTCGAGCACTACTGGCGAAAGTGTGGATATTCCTCGGTGGAAGCCCGACATCCTCCACACGGCGATTGAAAGCAGGAGACCTTGACCTATCGGGGCGGACTAGCAGTCTTAATCGGAGACTTTACTGGCCAGCTGCCATAAAGGGCCCTTGATAAGTCTGATGAGATAGTCTTTAAAAGGATACTATCAATCACAAGTCATGGAACGCTATCTTTAACATGTCGGTCTTCTTCGACCGCCTCAGGAGTGCCTACCGCACCTCTATCAAAGCACGAGAATGTCAAAAAAGAAATCACTAAACTTGGAAAGAGGCTGGCAACCGATACACCAGAGGCGGCTAGGAAAGACCAGGTTCACAATCCGCCCGTATTAGAAGTGGACAGTCAGATAAAACAACTTCTTGGCGAGTCCCATGCAACCTCTGATGATGACAATATTGACGATGAAAGCTGACAACTGCCTACTGCTGATTATATCTTTGCCGAGCGGGCACGCTTGGTGGAAATCCTTTACGGGGCCGATGCAGAGAGCTTTGGCGAGGAAAAGCTACTCACTAGACGCATCCAGGTTACCACGGATATGGTTGCACTGTTCCAGCTGAACGAGCTGAGGAGCGGAGAAAATCGCGCCAGTTGGAATATTGACGAGGAAGACGATTTGCTGGATCAGTCAAAAGAATTGCCGTCACTTGAGGAGGACACTATGAAATGGCCAACGAATATATGCATCGTTTGCTGCGGTCTATCTTGCCAATCATCATCGAATCCTCCTCCGCATAGATTCCCTCACAGCCGACAGGGTTCTCTCCATCACCACTCAATTGACATGCATCTGGTCCATGCTTCTAGTGGACATTGATGTGATATCAAGATCAAATCGTGTCATCTCCTGCAGGTATCCAAAGTTATTTCCAGCGACATTTCATCCACAAAAGCGTCTTCAGAGTCAGAGAATTCACCGCTTGAGAAACCGAATCCGCACCGAGATATACTCAGGCCGCGTTCACTATTGTCCCCTTGAGTATTCTAGGCTAGACGGCCCGAGCGGTGAAGCCAGCAAATTAGCTGAAGAGGATCATCGTCTGTTGCTAAAGTACAAACCACTCTCATCAGCTAGAAGATTGGGCACTAGTAAGCAGGAGCAAACGTCACGTGGAACGACCCCGCGACGAGGGAAGGACCAGTGACCACCAGCAGACAGTATACACTAATGGACCTCTGCAATGCCGATCCTACTGAATAGGATACTAATGCAAGTATTTGTTGTTCGATGTTCGATGTTCGATTCGTGTGTACAGAGCCACGTACTACCCTCTTCTCGGCCCGCATATGTATACTACTTTACTAGCTTTATTGCAGCAAAGGGAGAGTGGTCATCACGGAAGTGCTCAGTTCTATGCATCTGAATGAGTCTATATCAGCGACTGGTGACTGACTTTCGGTCTTCTATATATACCGACAACCATCTGTGCAGATCCTCGAGTTTCATCTCCTCCCATCTCCTTACAGCCAGAGCATATGGGTCCCTTGTTTTCAGCTCATCCGTTCTGGCGCATGTGACGAATCACAGTAGCAAATAACCACTCGATAGTATACGTGTGTGCGTGCACAGAGCGGATTCTGAGAGGGTTACCAGGGATCAAACTAGAGGACTGTGGTCTGACAGTTTTCCATTAACACTCGGGCCTCTTGCTCAATGGATTTGTGTTCTCTAGGTGCATAATGAGCATTATAAGTTACATAGACAACGTCATAAGGGTCGGATTACCTGCATCGTGATGTGGGGGTTGGG